TCTTCATTGGATGACCTACATTTTCACAACAGCAATGGAGCAAAGGAGATTGTTTCATTCTATTTAGCGAAGGAGAAATTGAAACAGTGCTTCCCAGCTTTGTCTCAGTTTAAGCAATTGTTATCGTCTCAGTGAGTTCAAAGACCATCTTTATCTGAACCATCAGGTTACTGATGAACCCCATCAAGTTATATGGACCTTATGGTTGATGAAGGATCTCTCAGAAGGGAGTTCATGATCAATGAGCAGTAGAGGTGAAATTCAGGTCAATCCGAATTAGTATTTTACAAAATTTAATGTCAACCTAGAAATCAAAGTTTTTTTGAGTCGTGGTTTAGGTCAAATGGATTAATCGATGATATGTCAATTAAATAATAAATAATTAAAAAGTAACGTACAAATAATCAAAAGAATATATAAAAAAATATGTATTAATTATGTCAAACAAAATTTAAGTGTGATAAGTAAAACTTATTTATATAACGTAGATGAAATATATAGTTTAAAATTGATCCAAAAGTGAAACTATTTTTTTATCTAAATAGTGGGTCAATGAACCAACTTTTAAAAAAAGAAATTCATGATGTCATAATTGAATAATAAATATTTAAAAAAAAGATCAAACACAAAAAATAAAAAAGTATAGAGTTTTGTCAAAGACATTTCAGAGCCTTTCTAATGTTATATAATCATCATATTAAATAAAAAAAATTGTTAAAATTATTATTATTATTATTGTAATTTAAAATTTCTGCATATGTACTTTTAGTACAAATATTTAATTTATTTTTAGTCATATTGTTACTTTTATTAATTTTCAATTTATATCTTAACTATGATATATCTAAAATTCAAGTAATTAATAAGGAAAAAAATTCATGTATGCAAGACATGTGCTTATTTACTAGTACATATATATATATATATAATAAATAATAAAATATTTTTATTTTTTATGTATAATAGTAAATAATTTTTATAATTATTTTTTGTATGTATAATAATAAATATTTTTTATAATTCTTTACTTTTTTTGTATGTAAAATAAAAAAATATATTTCTATATGTATAATTTATACTTTTTAGAAAAAGCTTGGCTTGCAATCGAGCTCGAATCGAACTGAGCTCAAACTTGTGAGCTTTTGAATTGAGCCAAGCTTGAGCCTAACACTATTTCTATGAACCAAGCTTGAATAGCCAAGTATTCGGCTTGCCTCGGCTCAGCTCAAATCCACACCTAGATGCCAACAATTGAACTTGCTCCAAAGCCTTTGTTTCTCCTCCTTCCTCCGCTCAATGATTAGCATCCTCTGGATTGAGGAGTAGATGATGTTGGCAAGTGAGACAAGACCATCTAATCCGAGAAGATCATCGTGGCCAATTTTTTTTTGTATAGTTTATGCAATTATTGTGTTTTAGTTTTTTTGATAAAACATTTATAGTTAAAATGTATAATGAGGAGCACATGATTATTATTTTATCATTTTTTGTGATTATTTTCTGCAATTTTCATTTTATTATAATTATAATTTTTGCCTAAAATATATATTTTTTGATAATTTTCATAATTTTATGCATTGTCTATAATTTTTTCTATTTTACCTGAGGTATATAATTTCTGAAAATTCTTGTTACCATTTTATGTGTTTTTCCTGTTATTATTATTTTTAGTTGAAATATATAAAATTTTTAATTTATTATATTTTATTTATTATTCTGAAATTTCTGATTTTTTTGCCTGAAAAATATATTTTAGGAAAATTTTTATCATTTATATGTTTTCAGTAATTTCTATCAACTTGCGCATTTGTTGCAATTTTGGCATTTCATTGCAAATTGTTTGTAATTTGTTTGCATTTCCTAAAAATTTTATACTTCAATGCAATTTTTTTTTTGTATTTTTTCAATTTTCTATGTTTTTATAATTTATCTTTACACATTTATTTAATTTTTTATTAGTTTCTAATTTTTTGTACATTTTTTGTTGTTTTACAGGAAATATATATGTTTTGTCATTTGTTGTCTTTTTATGCATTTTATTTTTATTTTCAAAATTAATTTTTTATGTTTTTCAGATTTTGTAGTTGACATAATCATATGCTTTTATGCAAATAGAATAGAGAAAAAAATTAAAAAAAAATGTCTAATTAGAATAATTGAATTAGAGGGTCAAATGTGTGGGTAGGGTGGGTCAAGGTCAACCCACTCTGATCCACTAACATGGGTCGAAAAAGGGATAGGTGGTCAATATGGGTGGGTTGGTATTTAGTCCACAGCCAACCCAACCCAACCCGCCTATTTGTTACCCTAAAATTAGGTCTATTTTATCATACTTATTTTTTAATATGATAGATATATAATAATAGAAATGTGTCCAATTTTTTCATAATTTCTTTATCTTCTATTTTTTTGTATTTTTTATATTTATAAATTTTTATTATTTATTTATGACATCATGGAATCATCTATTTGACCCCAATGGTTGAACTACTTACCCACCACCTATATGGAAAATATGATTTCATTTCTATGTTTATTTTAAAAATATAAAATTTTATTATATTAATAATTATTGTGTGGATTTATTAGTGTAATTTAACGGTGAAAAATAAAAATTTAAATGATGGATTCAATGAAAAAGAGAGTGTGATTTATTTAATGACTTAAATGTGAGACTTAATGAAAGGTAATTGAATGTACCCAATAGTATTATTTTAATTACATTTTCTACCTTTTCAATAGAGATGAACCAAATTGAAGAAGATGGGTATTTTAGTAAAGAAAATTTCCAAAAACCAATACCTCATTCACACTTTTATAAGTAGTATAGATATAGATATAGATTAAGCCTCACATAAGCTGAATAGTGAAAAAAAAAAAGCTTAAACATTGGGGGAAACATCAAAAAGACATTTCCTTCCATGGATAACTCTCACTCAAGTCGAGAAAATAATTTCTTTAATAAACATTTTAACCAAACAACATTTCAAATTCCATTGAGAAAAATGCCTACTGGTGCTGAGCTGACACTACTTTTAGATAAACGACAAAGGAACCAAACACCATCCTAATAAGGCATGTTAAAAATGGGTGTTTTTGTATCTTACATGCCAAAACTCAAAAGGACAACATATTAGAAAAGATTCTTGATTATTGGCAAGTGGCAAAATTGACTTAAATGATTGCAAGTAGTAAGGCATGTCAGGGGGTCGGGGTTATCCAATTTGAAGAATTTATACAACATTGATCGAGTCCATTCAAATTCTAGCAAATCTTCAATATAAGCCCACTTGCCGGGGACTCAAAAAGGGTAAATAAAGTGGCAGCTCTAGGAAGTGGGGAAAAAAAATCAAAATCCGATACATGCAAAACAAATGTTATACACCACCAATCGGTTATGTCTTGTTTGAAAATTAAATTAAAAATTTGTTGCGTAATTAATTAAGGTTTTAGTCTTGTTTTATTTTATTTTTACTTATTAGTTTTAACTTTTTTACTACATGATCTGATTGTGTTACTTATTAGTTTTAACTTTTTAACTTCTAGAAGAAATCTCGTCAAAAAAAGAATTGTAGAATATGATAGATTTGCCAGTCCATGTTTAATTTGGAAACGAAACTTAGCACTATCGCCCACATTCCGAGAGACCCAGATAAGGAAACCATCCAAATCCAAATGTAATTTTAATTTTAAATGAATTTCTTTGAAAGTTTCAATCGATCATGTTAAATATGGCATATATTTATATTGATGGGGTAATTTGAGTTCTGTCCACCTCAGAATTCATAATGCCATTGTACAGTTCAGGTGAGGGGTGAGGATAAATACATTTGGAGAATTAATTTCTGAATTCTGAAGTAGAATGAACAATAAAAAGGCCTATATTGATTTATTATGAAAGACTTTTTTTTTTGAAATGCAAAATTGCATTAAATGAGAGATAACTTAGTTTCAGTCCTACATATCAGAGGAAATAAAAGGCTCTAAAAAAATTGGGCAAGAAGACCAAGTCGTGAGATTAGTAAGAGATACAGCATGTTTTGCTATAGGTTTGTTTCAGTCATACATATCAGAGGAAATAAAAGGATCTAAAGAAGTTGGGCATGAAGACCAAGTCGTGAGATTAGTAAGAGATAGAGCATGTTTTGCTAACTTTATGGGTAGGTATGTTTGCATGTCGTCTGAGTGTCGCCTTCAATTTGTAAGGAGCTAATGGAGATGCTCTTGCGAAGATGAACTTGACCCCAGGAGTCGCAGAGAATGATCCCAATTCCAGCCTTGGAGTTTGAAGGTGTCACCATCAACATTCACTTAATCCTAGAGACGAAGGTGACCACATAGGAATAAAATCAGTATCATCAGCGCTTGAAACATTTAACTGTTATTTATTATCATAAGTATTATGAAAGACTAGCAAAGTTAATGTTAAGTTTTCGGGGGTATAGTTCATGCAATATAAAGCTGTTTCATTTTCAGCTTTCTTCACTCTTTACGGCTCGCGCAAACGAAGGAAAGAGAAAGATAGCGACATGGACATGGACATGGAAGAGAAGGGGCTATCTATTTCTATGACATTTGAGGAAAAGAATCAAGCAAAAAGGACTAAAAAAAAGCACTAAGAATCTATCTCTAGAGATAATGTTTGGCATACGTCTCTTCAAAACCTACCTACGTCGTTGGCAGATGGGAGGACAAGGGAAAAACAGCTCAATCACCCGAGTTTCCAACCATTGGATGCATGGTGCTTGCAAGTTGTAAACGGAGCTCTTCACCGGATGAGTGATATTTTTGGTGACAAACGGATCAAAGGAGATTGTTTTCTTCGGTTATCCACATTCCCCAAATATAAGGACCATCCAAGTAAAGACACAGTCACACAACAGGAACAATTGAATTGACATATCAGGACACGACAGCAGAGGGCCGTCCAAAATATGATACCACACCTAAACAAAAGCACCTATTTTCACATCAATATAGTAGTTGTGCAGCCTTCAGCATTGAATTACCTTAGATAGCAGATGAATTAAGTAGGTATGAAAGAAACAACACCCAAAAACATCACCTTTGAATTCTCATGTACAAAAGAATGTACAGAAGAACAGAACGACCACTGATGTTGGAAACACATATAAGATCATAAAATACAACAATATGACCCAATAAATTAGTTTACAGGCTGCAACATTTAATGCTCAATCATCAGCAATGTCCAACTAAATAGTCTACAGGCTGCAGCAATTAGAGCCTAATCCTCAAAGATTTATTCAACCAGCTTAAAGTGACTTCTTTCTTTTTCTTTGTTTCGTGTTTCTTCCTTCCCTATTTTTTTCCCTTTAGCAGGCACACAAGTTTGTAAGTTGTAACCTTGTGTTCATGATGCTCAGGTTTCAACAAAGAAAAGTTACAGCTTGCACCTGGTTTGCTACAAATTTTCAGTCGTCTATGGCATGACACAAAGAAATTAAGTTATTTTCTCTTCTTTTAACCGTAGAAGTGCTACAAGCTGTTGATCTTGATTCCTGATATCAGAATTTGCAAGTAAGCTGTTCTTTTCAGCTACTGCAGCCTGAGGTTTTATCTGTGCCATATTACTGTTGGCTGTGTTATGACTGTTGTTCCTAGCTGTTGGTACATCATGATTGTGTTTACCCTCATATGTAGTTATGACTGCTTTTGGGTCCGTTGAAGCCCTCTCCACATGCTTGCGAACATTACATCCAGCATTTGTGCATTTATAGTAGCTCCTGTTGATAGTAGTGACATGAATCAGTATCTTGATTTATGGAAAAGAAATAAATTTCACACAACATACTACTGTCACTTCAATTCAAATAAGCAAAATGAACCTCTGAAAAGTACAACGGATGGGAAAGAAAACCTCCACCCAATGAAATAACCAGCACTTTTAATGAAGTCTTTCTTGAGGTACTGAGAAATTACAACAAGCTCAGAGTTGTCACACATTTTATAGATTAGTCGTATTATATATAATATTAAAAATATAATGCCTTTGTCATCACATACAGGAAAACTACTCTAAAATAAAAGTTGATACTTCACCAAGTGAAAGAAGAAATAAATAAATAAGAAAAGAAGAACCTGACGTAATCATGAAATTGAAGCATAGGCAATCAACCTTGGCTATTATTACCAACAAATCACCAAGGGAAAGATGATGGAAGAAAATATCAAAGACAACAGATAGATTAAATCTAGGCATATACACATACAGACATTGAACACAGATACCAGATAACAAGTATTGTGCCCAGGAAGACCTGACACATATTCCCACTCTAAATGAAAATATGAGGATACATGTAGGGCAACTAATATATAACTGGCTATGCCTGAATCGAAACAGATAGAGAAGGCAAATTAAAGATTTTTCCCAAGCATGTGACTGGACCACTGGATGTGCATCCACATTTATTTGCAATTTCCACACCCACCACATCAAATTTAGGACAGAGCCCTCATCACATAGAAGGGAATAATGGGGGAAGAGAGAAATTTATGCAGATACTAACAGGTTTATATAATGCAAAAATTGGAAAAATGATCAAAAAACACGAATTTTGAGATTCACAAGAACAGAGAGGAGAATGGAGATTTGAATAATACATTAACCTAACACAATTGTGAGGTTGCTCTATACCATATGGGAGAAATCACCATAAACCAAAGTTAACACTTTGTGGAAAAGCTGTCAAAATCTTACTATTACAATATGATTCACAATTTGAATCATGAATTCCAAGGGTTTTTTGGTTAGAGATGCAACTTGGGCCAGGTTACACAAGTAATGGCCCCCTTTTGCCCTTGTACATATAATAATGCTAAAATCAAAGAACCTTTATCCATTAATCTAAGTTAAATAAGAATATTTTAGCAAGATGAAGTGAAGAAACCAGGCCAACACGATTCCAATCCAACCCAAAAAAAAGTCAGGGTTGGCATGGGTTTAGGGCTAGGGTTGAGGGTTCAACAACTTGGGTTGGGTCAGGATTGACGTCAACCCAACACAACTTGCATCCCTAATTTCAATTCAAACCTTATATCTAAGTCCTTTACATAGAAAAATCTTATGATCATTATTTGAATCTTACAATTTAATTCATGAGTCTTACCATTTACATGATTCAATGATTTGAACCAATTAACTTGAGACCTAGTTCTCTACTTTTTTGTTCATTTGCTTATTTTAGGTTTTTTTTTTTTTTTGATAAATAACAGGAAACTTTCAAAGGGGCTTGTTTTAAAAACCTCACTAGAATAAGACTTATTTAGATAGGTTAAAGAGCCATTATTTGTGGGTTAATTGACTTTCCAGTCAAACTTATTTAATCATCTCATGCTTCTACTGTACATGTAGTGAACTCTTTTGTATTAAGTACATATATGATATGGTAGATATGGATTAAAATGGCTTCAAATCATCTTTCTATATACAACTCAACTAAGCCTTGTCCCAACCATATGGGATTGGCATTATTTTTCTATATATACTCAATTATTTAATTTTTTTTTATAGATTTCTAAACAAACAGAAAATGTTCTTATTATTTTTCTATGATTTTCAGAACATTGCTTTACAGAACAAAGTCATGGTCGAAAAGGTTGGTGAGGGAAGTGAGATTTACAGAATCAGAACAAGGAAATGATTCTCATGGTAAACCTCCATGTGTCAGTAACATATATTCAGAGCTCCAACACGTGGTTAAAATGTGAAGATGCAAAGGTATCAGAACTGGGCATGAGAAGACATTTGACGCAACCAAGAGGGAATAGTAGGTGAGGCAGAAAATAATTGTTAAGAGAGGTTGAAGACTCTTGGCAGTTGCTTCCACTTGGGTTCATTATACTGCTCTTAGACTTGAACCAACATTCTCAATCTCTCATGATTACCAGCCAAACATTTTACCATTGCACCAAAGAGTGGCCCCTCCCCAGAAGCAACTGAAGTAAAACCCAAACTGTCCTTGGGCCAGCATAGAGAGAATATGAGAGCTCTCGCAAGAAACCTTGTAGCATTAAATAACAATTGAAAATTCCCTTTAACCTTAATTCCCAACATTTTAATTTCTTAAGTTCAAGATAGAAATGATGGCTTGGTCTCACAGAACCAAAGTAATCAGAGGATCTAAATCAACACAAGTATCTAAATAGCATTCAATAAAACTAAGAGAAGAAGAAAAAAACATGACTAGCACATACCTTTTTATCAAAAACAAATTAAATAACTCTTGATTAGTCAGAGAGGATTTTTTAGCTACATCAGTGAAATCAATTAGCTACTTATAAAAGAACAAAATCAGTGAAATGAATTAGTTAAAAATCACCAATGTACTTGAATTATCTTAACCTGGGTTCAATTTACTACCATGTTGTACCAGGAGAAAGTATAAGAAGACATCTACAATCAACTTGGATGACACAACCGCTAGTGTGCACATGTATCACAGAATAAATTTAAACCACTGTGTCACAGTAAATGTATACCATTAGCATGAATTGGAACAAAGTTACAACCTTGGATAAGGATTCCCTTTGACCACTTTCTGACCATATTTGCGCCACCTATATCCATCATCCAAAAGGTCAACTTCACTTGTTGTCTGCACAATGATCCTAGGTTCTGTGACTGTTCTATGTGAAGAAGCAGGTTCAGAAACTTTGGCTTCTATGTGCCTGATCATTAAGAACAAGGCCATGTTAGGACACAAAAAAAGCTAAAGAACCTCTAAGTCTGGAGAGGTTATTAAGTGTAAAACATGCCTTCTCTTTGAATCAGGTTCGTCATCATCTCCTTCATCCACTCTTGTTTCAGCATCACCCACTTCCTCACCATCACTTGAACCAGATAGTTGCTCAGGCGTTGCTTGGCTAGATTCCTGTTCCTTCCTATAAAGTGAAGAGGAGGTAATATTTTCATTTGGCCCATTCAAATTCCCAGACTGAACCCGTGAACCAAATTCAGGTTTCCCTTGCAAACTTAAGCTTGCATTAGAATTCCCACTTTCTTTTGCACGCTTATTGGGTTGAGGTTGTGGATGGTTGTGCTGGCCCTTATAGATGATCTCAGTAACCTGACCATCAGGAGAACGCTCAACCTTTTTCTTGACAGGACAATTGGAGTGGGTGCATTTGTAATAGCTTCGAGGAAACTCACTTCCTTTCACCTGCTTCTGCCCATATTTCCGCCAATTGTAGCCATCATCAGCAGGCTTTTCAACAGCACTGGAGGCAGGTTGTGACCTCTGTTCAGAATTGGAGAACTCTGATGATTCCACGATGGTGCCTTTAGAGTCTGATGTTGATGGTGGGATATGTTGGTGTGAAGGTCCATTGATACTAAAGGGCACATGTTGCACTAGTGAAGTTGTAGGAGGTACTAAGACCGAAGAAGGATATTCACCTTGGATAGGCATATAAGACTGGGATTGAGCAGCCTGTGCAGTGACTTGTGCCAGGGCCTGCTGGTGAGACATTCCAAAGGGACCCTGCACACAATCAACAAACCATAGAAATAAATGCCTGATACAAGTCACCAAATATTGCTTTCCATAAAGTATTTTGGTATTAAGGGAATATGAAGGGTCCCTAGAAGCATCAAAACATGGGACGGATTTCGTGTAGTAATTTGGTGTTAATAAAGGAGGAACTACAATATGGTGCCAGCAACAATCATGATGAAAGTTGCCTTCACCCATACAGTACATTTGATGCCTCCGTGCATAAATTTAGACTGTTCAATCAAAAGACTACCTCTTTCTTGAGCCAAATATAGCCATTTCAATTAAAGTTTACAATGACAAACTAAAGCTTAATGTGGGTTCAGAAGGAAGAAAAAACAGAAGTAAATGTAACAATCAGAAAGAAGGTCAATGCATCGAGTGATAAGCATTTTCAAATGACATTTCCCCTAAACATAGCCCATCCAAGATGGAACACACTGAATTGCTAGTCCAGATCAATGAATTGGTGGCAGGACAGTGCAAAAGAGTTCCCATCATTATCATATGCTTTCAGGGGTTTTTTTTAGATAAATAGGGAAAAGTATTGACATACAAAACTCAGTCCAGGAAAAGAAACTTCAAAAGTCAAGTTAAAAGTGATCAAATATACATGACTCCAACAAGTTAACTGTATAGATAATGAGAATAATGACTCTCACCACTTTACATCAATTCCCCAACCAACAGGTCAAGCTACCAGGTAAGACCATTGAACAGGGTAAATTTTCCTTTAATGAATGCAAATGAAAGCAATTACTTGGTTTTGTTCACAATCTTCACTCTGCTGCAACAGCAGAACAAAGCTCCACACCACCGATAACAGAGAAGCTAATTTATCCCTTACCCATTGGAGAAACGCTGGACAGAACCAAAACTAGGTTCTAAAGAAAACTCTTGCCCAGACAAATGTTCAAGCATTAAAATAAAATTCATTCCAAGTTTTGGCATAGGCATGTCATCCGACTTGAAACCCAACCTCCGAAGTCGGACCCATGTTATCCACGACATCAAATACAAACGAAGTAAACATATTGACTATTCCAAAGCAGGATTTAATCCTAGAACAGTTCTATATTCCCTCAAATAAAGAGTAAGAGGATGTTGCTGTTGGTCTCAGCCTCCGTTTACTGTGGCCCGACAACATCGGTCAAATAAAGCACATCCGACATCTAAAGTTTCGCATTTCAAAGCCAATAAACGTCAAAGTCTCCTTCAGTAGCAACAGACTTACACGAACGCTCTGAAGAACGGGAAACAGAAATAACAACATGCTTAGTATGACATCATATTCATGTCAATTACCTGACCAGGTGAAAAGAATCCCGGTGAATCAAGCAAGGTAGCAGGGCTTAAACCAGGCGGAATCGTAAACATAGGCAGAGGGGATTGGGCAATCACCAAATTCAACGGTCGTTGGGGCTTAAGACAGAAATCCTTTTCACCTCCATCCCCTGAATCCTTCTGCTTGGAGGACTCCTGGGTTGAATTATCCGTGAAAAAGTTGGGTCTCATACCGGCAACAGAAACTGGCGAAGCCATGGCCCCAGCGAGAAGCTGCGAGAAAGACCGACAGTCAGACTCAGGATCGTTTTCAGAGAAGAAATTATTGACGAGCGTCATAGGACCGGGGCTGGTGCCAGCTCCGCCAGTGAAGAGACTCTCGACCGAGGAGCGAGAAGGGAGAGCAATCGTGGGGCGAGGGGGAGCAGCTGGTCTTTGAGACCTATCATTTTCAGCCATCGATGATGATTGTATGGAGTCTGCACCGCGCAGTTATACGAGATTTACCATTATTAATGGGAGGCTTCTCTTCTTTTCGTGAAGTTGTTTTATCCTTTTCTTCTCAGAAGAGTTGCAGAGAAAATCTTCTTAGGTTTTCCCTCTCTGTTCTCTTTTTCTTCGTTTAACTCCTCTGCTGTGGATCTAGAAATCTGTGAAAAGTCCACGCACGGAGACGACGAAGACATTCATTTCTCATTCTTATTTTCTACTTAAATCCAACTTAAATTCCCTCCAAATTAAACTCAAATGAAATGCGGCCAAAACAAACTCATGAATTTCTGTCATCCATAGGCTGTCACTTTATTGACTTACATGCCCCCGACGACTTCTGAAAATGACGAAATTATTCTTTAATTAACCTTAAGCCATTCACATGAAATGACAAATATAGACTTCAAAACGTGGGAAAATAACACAGCAAAATTGGGAAAAATAGATACAGATGTATATTTCGGAAAAGATGTCCACTTGTGGTAATTGGAGGAATAAATTGAGTCGTATACAATCACAATGTATGAACGGCACCATCGTTTTACCGTATTGAAGTAGCTAACCTATAACCATGCCTTTTATGGGTCCCACATGCGAGAACTCCCACTCTACATATTTGGTTTGACCCTGATTCCTGAATTAGCGCCATCAAAACTGAGTTTCTGACTGACTGACTGACCGAGAAAGAGCGATCCATACATTTATGATTTATAGAGGACAACCAAGATTCCAATCAAATGGTTTTGGGCTGGTCACAACATCCAAATGCACAGAAACAGGATTAGATGTATAAAGAAGCTCGTATTAATTCATGAGCCAACTAAGATTATCATTATTTGTTTAATTTATTAGCATAATATCATAGTTAATTGGCGTATTAGAAAGGATAATGTTTTTTTAGTGGACCGAATTCATTTAGCTTTTGAGAGAAGGATCATTTATAATCTAACGAGGTGCCCGTCACAAAATTGTCCCTCACAGTATCTCACAGCACATCTCCGTCGTGTATTAAGAACATCTCAATTATAATATTCACAATATACGAGAGGGATGAGGAATGTATTGTGGGACATTGTGGGGCTGATTTGAACTCTCTCATCTATCATTCCGCTTTTGACCTTCTACCTTAACTAAATTACCCAACCCGACAGGAGTACGTCTCCATCAGTCCACCCGATGATGCATGTCGTGTCGGCCCGTGTCCAAGGAGATTTTACGAGCTGTGGATATGACACGTATGTTTGTTCTCCGCCATCGGTTTATTGGATAGCCAGCTGCAAACCAACGTAAGCCCATATCGGATGTCTCCGTGCATCAGCGCCTCACAGGTGCCTCACACAGTGAAACAGGGACACTTATCGTCTAGCACGAGCTCCATCTTTATGCGTGCGGAGCTAACGGTAACGGGACCCCATTCTTGAACCTTTTTTTTATTCGAATACGGGGGAGAACCCCGGATTACTGTCCTTCTGTGATCGAAATCTATTGATTTTTTCGACGTCGGCATTCATTCCGGCGGTCCACCATCGGAAGGTAGTTACTCCTGTATTTTTATTATTATTTTTTTTTTCTTTTCACTGCAAAACAGATGAGGGAGGGTTTTTTTCACCACCGGCAAGGTGGAAAGAACTCAACCCCTGTGCTGAAGCATCGCTGCTGTAATCGAGCAAAGTGAGGATAAATTAAAGAGCTCAACCCCCTGTATCCAGCTATGAATTCGGATCCGCGTGTTTCGATTGCAATTGCGAAATTCAATCTCAAGGTCTTCAAGTCAACTGTGTTCTTGGATTATTAGAGACCGGTTAACGGGTCGAAGTCCAACGAGTGTGACATGGTTTAAAGGTTACGGAACAAGGAGAAATCTTGGCAAAGTACAGGAATTTTACGAGGTTTAAAATCGGCGTTAAAGAGGATTGTAGCTATGTGGTTGCCGGCACAAGCCGATGGCATTCGAGGATTGTAGCTATCTGTCGATTCGCAACGACGAGATTAATGACACGATCCCAATAGTCTGAAGTGAAAAATGTTGCTGGTGGTCGTTGGTGATGGCCGGTGGTGTAAAAAACTCTCCCTCATCTATTTTGCAGTCGAAAAAAAAATAAGAATACAGGAGTGAAAGTGTGAAAAAGATGAGAGATATGGAGAGTTGATTACCTTTCGACGGTGTGACTGCCGGCGTCGGAAAAAATAGCAGATTTCGATCAAAGACGAAAAGACGGTAAATAGGGGATCTCCTCCGAAGTCCAGTCAAAACAGAGGATCGAGCGGGAGCTGGCAGCCTAGCACGCGTTAGCTCCGCACGCATAAAGATAGAACTCGTGCGGGAGGACAAGTGTTCCTGTTTCATTGTGCGGGGCACCTGTGGAGCGCTGATGCGAACTCAGGAGATGGGGTGACGATGGCCGATGGCCGGGTTTGACCAGGAATTGTCGAATAGTGCAGAAAGTGGGGACAGAGCGACAGGTATGGAAAATGGAAGAGAGAGGAGGAACGACTGCTTATAGGTTTATTTTTGGGGATTCGAGAGTTGAGAAGTTCACGACGTAATCCTAGCTTTCCAACCGGGATTTCTTTCATCCTTTTTATCGGTATGATTAGGATTTCGGATTTGGAAGGGTGGAAAATGGAAAACGCCAGCACGATTCACATCCGATGCGCGTTGAAATGACGCACCTAAAAGGTCAAGGCACGGCATAGACGAAAGTCATGAAACGTACAAGCTAGCCTTTATTTGGTAATTTGGCATTTGGCATTTGGCAATTGGCATCGATGCGTTACGTTTAGCGTAAACGGGTAAAAGTTGATGGTTCGTTGAGGTTCGTTTCTGTGAAAACTAAAAACGCCAACATAACATAAATGTGCGAGATTTCTATATAACAATCTGTTTTTAGAACCACACCATTCTCACGTTTTTGTAATGGTCTTATCTACAGTGGCATATAAAAAAAGAGGTAAATTACAGATAGATATGTACTATGGTTCAAGGTATAGATACATCTCTATGTATGGCATTGGTGTATTGTTACTTTAACCAATACAGTCTTTTATTTTTTTTTAGTTTTTTCTTTTCTAAATTTTGTTTTTAAGTATAATTATATATTATTTAATAAAAATAAATTTATTAAAACACCTGTAAACATATACAAATGTATCAGGAGGGCCCAATATGATACGATACGTATCGTGAAGATACTTTTAACCTTAATAGGTACTTGGGATAATGACAGAGTTTGATTCAAGTGTGATATATAATACTCTGAACTTTTAAAAATATACACTTGAGTCCAATACTTCGGGTGATTTTGGATCAGGATGAATTTTCGGGTTGGGTTGTTAAATGCTAGACCCCTAACCTAAATATATGTGATGTGTTAGGGTTGACCCATGGGTCAATTCGGATCATCCTAAAAAATAATTGAAATTAGAAAATAAAGAAAAAGTACATGAAAAATGTCAAAACTAAAGAAATTAACCTTAAAGTTTCAAATATATTTAAAAAAATGAATATTTAACAATTCAGCAAGTTGACCCATGACCCAACCCAATTTTTCCGGGGTGGGTCATTCTTAAATTCAAGTAGCTAAATAATGAGTCCATAACCCCTATTTTTTCGGTTTGGGTTGAATTGGGTTTACGGGTTGGGTCATTTTTTGCCAGGTCTAACTTAAAATTAACATTACAGTGAGGGTAAAATTAAAAAAAAGGCTTATTTAGATTTTCCTTTTTCACTATTTTTCGTTGTTCCATTCAAATGCTGTTATTCTTTGTTGAAATGAAGTATAGAGACGGTTCATATGAAAAAAAAGGAAATAAAATAAAAGTTCAGTGAGTAAAAAAGAATCTAAACATGGGCATTTTTGTAAGTTTGCCCTCATTGTAACATCAATTTTAATAGAGCTGGACTTCAGTGTGTATTTCTAAAAGTGCAGAGCACTCAAATGTCCAACTCAAAAGTTCAGGCCCTTAAATGTCATTATCTCCAAATTACAAAGTATCTATTTGTAATTTATTCAAAATAAAAATGAGAATAAAATATTTTCCTGTGTTGTCATAAACACATTTTAATTATAATAAAATAAATTATTTTAAATGCTAATCAACACATGCCCCTAAACCTCCTTATCAAACTTAACATTCTACATAGCGATGCCGATATGAAGGGATTCTGGGCTTTATTGAGCTTTTTGTCTTTTGGACCTGGGCGCTGTTTTGCCTGCACGCCTCCACGGTGAAAACTCAAATGACCAAGGAATGTAAGCCTAAGCCGAGTTTGACAGTAGAGCCCATTGGCCCACCGAGAAAAGGAGAATCTTTTGAGGTAGGATTAAAATCTTTTTGATCCATGTATTCTTTGGCCAACCAACCCAACCTGAATCAAAATATGCAGACATTTACGTAAGGTAAGTTGGTAGGAGGAGGAAGGCTCACGTTGGGGAGGCATGGATACCATTCCTTTCTAAAAATGTTTTAATTTATTATCAAGTGAAAACATGGAAAGGATTTGAGTCTATTAAATCCTCCATTTCTTAGGTTATACTTGGTATCATTGCTGTTTTTTCATGAAATGTTTAAGGTTGATTGAGAGTGCAAAACCTTACATTTTGTATTATTTCGTATGTATTTGTACTGTACATATTTATATTTGTACTCCTTCAAACTGAATCTTAATATAACAACAGCAATTTGTGTTGATCAACCCAAAGCTTTTCTGATTATGTGACATGACAATTTATATTTCACACTAATTTCTACTGACCAATCTCAAATGTTTTCCTGGTACCAAATACAACCTTAAAAGAAACTAAATTTAGTTAGAGTCGAGCATGTTTGAGGTGCAGATTGGACCGGTTTATGATTAGGCACGAGGGCCACGAGGGCCACGAGGCCTCATTTTCCATGGGTTGGGCGTGGGCCAAGGTGAACCTGGACAGTCTCTCATCTACAACGGTACAACCCTTGTATCCCTCATGCAATGTTGCAATGTTTGCTTGCTTTGATTCGTTGACACATAGTTGGGTTTCATGTAAACTTAAACAGATAAAAGTGAGAGAAATTAGAAGAGAAACGTACTATAGTAACAAAATCACTGTGCCAATTGCTTAATTTGAAACCATTTATTCTGTAACTCCCATTGCAAGAGAGATCAGAGTATAGTTTATATTAATAATTAAATAGGTCCACTGACATGCATTTGTTAGTGAGTAGCCCCAACTTCCTAGACCGAACTCCGAACAAACTGTGTATTCACATTAGGAGCCTGGTGTCTGGAAGTTACACCCACTTCTAGCTTTTGAAACTGCATCAATTCAAAAGACAATATTAACAACCTAGCTCACCCACCTTTGGGGTGTCCAGAGAAGCAAAATCGTACATATTGACGAAGACGCAAGTTAATAAAAACTCTTTAATTGGTAATACGTAGCATTCAATATTCAAATCCTAAGAAAAGCCAGGTTAAAAATAAGATGTTACTTGTCAAAAAAGCTAAAAATAAGGAGTCCGGATCTCCTCCCCACAAACTCTTCCCATATTCTTATCCACAGATAGAGATACAATTTGGGCAGGTTAGGATTAAAATTCTGTAGAAATTTGAATGGGCCCGAATCAAAACTCGAGACCTAAGCAATGTAAAATGTTATATCAGGCTAACCCAAATTGCACCCTTACCCACAAGACATTACAGCCGTCCATTGGGAACATATCCCTTGTCATTAGCGGGGAGATGATCCCGATACATGACGATAGTATCCAATGGGTAGGGATGTGGGAAGAGTTTATGGATAGGAGAGCTGGAGTAAAAAATAAGGATAAGAAGCTCATTCATTTCTCACCCAAGGAGGAGGACGAGGAACCCACTCCAGGAAACTCAGCCCATAACTGGCAGGTAGCAGCTAACCGGGAACAAGCATCCATATCTTTACAGAACCAGTGAAAAGGTGTCAGAGGTCTGGGTGCAAAGAATCCAGCAAATGTAAGAACACAGTACCGAGTCATGGAGGGCGCAAGTGCCAAAAGCAGCTGAAATAAGTAGACGTTGAGATATTTCAATTTTTGTATGGTGTGTATGGTTGCATGACATGACCACTTACTAGCTAGCATTTAAATTCTTCCAGCATCTGGTTTGTATATCCAGTCAGGCACCAGATAGTACAAATATAGACACAATAAAATTCTCTTTCTTTTCTTTGGAAGGTGGGAAAAGAACATTAAACGAGATTTCTCGTTACAATGCTAAGCAATCTAACAAAATACAGTAGTCAACAGACCACGAGGGGTTTCTCCTTGGGTTCCATTTGTTTCTCACTTTCTCCATAAAATGGATGTAAAATTTCAGTGTAAAATATTTCAGATATTATTTTCACCCATTTTACAGTGAAAATTTTGTTTGTCCTTAGGCTCCCTTCTAAATTGTTTTGATGTAAAAGAGATGAAATTACAGCTCAAATATTTCAGCCTGGAATATTTTACTTCCCCTTCTATCAACAGCCATAGCAGGAAATGTGGTTTCAGAGACTCTAATTTGAAGGTTGCTTCCAAGGGGAGGCGGCTACTCTGTTTCCGCAACTGTTTCTACCAGGTCATATCTGTCTAAGTCTGTCCCCCAACCCTAACCTCCTCCTTTTCTCCTCAAGCCTTCCCAAAGTTACTGCATGCAAAAGGAACTTATTTTTCTGGGTTCGAGGAAGGGTGGTAGATCAACAGGTGTGGTCAGCTGTTTCAAGAGAGTAAGTATAAAAAAGCAAAACATATGCGAGAAGAAGTAGAAAGTAGGACAATTAAGACGTCTCACTCTCAACTCTCACAAAAGCTAGAATCACATAGGTGTTTGAGAAAGTATTAATTTCATGTCACACCATTAACAGCAATATATCACATCATACATCAGCCTAGTCCCCTATAAGTAAAATATGGATTTTTATTCATTAAAAAAGGCTGTATTACAAGAAATGATAAATGAAGAATATTAAAATGATAAGAAGTTTTCTTTAAACTACAACAGAGAAACAAAAATTAGAGACTGCTAGGCTATACGGAAAATTAAAGATTTCTAAATCTTTATATGCAACTATAGCATGTATGTATCATCTTATAGTTGTGTCTCAAGAATGTACGTCGAAGACACTGCCAAACCCTCAATATCATAGGTACGTACAAGTCTCTGTCTCCTGCCAGGGGACTCCAGCCAACAGAACTCCAGATGGAACGACTTTAATTCTGCCACACTCTTTGCCACATCACATGGGCACCCCATGTACATACCTCCAGGCAACAAGGTCATCTGATAGCCTCCATCAAATGTAATCAGGTTATCCAATAAGTGGCCAGTCCAATGGACAGTGGTAGCAACATCACCTCCATCAGATGTTGAAGTAATATCCTGGATGAGAAACTTGTGTCAAAGATCAATTCCCCTAAAGGAAATAGTGCATATAAGATGGATCTAAAAAAAAATGTCAGTACTATTTCATAGAGCTCATCTGAATTTGTATCCAAGCTTCAAACATTGGTGAATTTGCTACTTTTAAGTTTAGCATTGGAGCTTTTGTTTATCCTTGTCAATGATCCAAAAGAGCAATTCTCAAGTTGAGATCTCCTTTTTCAGAAGTTGTAACTTGTAAAAGCAACAAATTTATTTTGAGTTTTACTAAAAATGAATGGGAAGTATGAGCAAAACCAGTACACATTTCATGTTAATAACAAATAAAAGACTGTAGAAGACACCAGTACACTACATGGAATATTTATGGGAAGCAACATTTTGGAAAGAAAACTGTTCTTTTTTCCTAACATGAGCATTTAACTAAGCCAGTGTTATATTATATTCAGGCAATAAATCATCAGGCAACATTAGTGGCAGTTCTGTCAAGCCACTTTTTAACCATCCAAGACGCATTTTCATTGCTTCAAAAATTTATGGCCAAATTTCTCCAACCTAATTGAAAATTGAACTGCTTTGACAAATCACAATGGATGTAAAGGAGGATCAAGTGGTGCACATTGACACAAACCTGAATTAGCTGACCATTGTCATCAATTTCAAGCAAAGCAATTGTATCAGCTTCTACAATTGTTGCTCCATAAACACCACTGCGTTTAGTTATAGAATGTCCTTTCCACCTACCAAGAAATGGTTGTATCCTATTTGTGCTATTCTGCAAATAAAATAGGGAAATAACCAATGACAGATCTCACATAAAACACTATGAAGATGTTTACAGCAGCCTAACCCATTCAAATCTAACAGTGTTAAAGAAAAGAAAATCACGTTAATTACTGGATGTTAAATGACTTTAGAAGTACTTCAGCATTTCATGGTTAGTTAAAGTTAGGTGGATTTAATTACCTTAGCATTGTCTAGAGAAGAAGGAAGAGTCAACTCGTTTCCTCTTTCTTCAAGGAAGACAAGCAGCATTTCAAGAACACCTTTTGGATCCAGGATATGGAAAACTCTTGCTCGCATATCTTTCTCCTGTGAATATAGGCAATTCTCGCAGACAACAGAAGGTCGTTGTGAGGGTAGCTTTAGATTTCTGCATCATGGGAGTCAATGCCAACACCTTGAGATAATTCAAGTTCCTAAGCAAAGAAACTTTGCACATCAAGCATAACTTGATAATCTAAGAGACTAGGGTGGTTAAGTACATCAAGGCTGTTTCTGGTTGCACATAACATGAAGGAAGATGAATGATTTCCTTGGAAAATGTAGTTCTATGAGAGAATAAATCATCTTCCTAATTATCCTGGTGTTTCACTTAACTGAATAGTTGAGATATACATGAGTGTTGCAATATATGTATAAAGAGGACCAGTCTCAGTTTGGAAAATGACATGAATAATTAGAAGGAATGTGGTTTCCATATAATTAGTACTCATTCTATGGAAAATATTTATTTTCCATATCCATTTTATGTGCAACTAAACACCATAAAATAGCAATGTTTAGGAAACTGTTCTTTTTCCTGCATTTTATGTGAAAACAAACAGGGCCTACAACTTCAAAATTACATCATCTAGATATTATTGAAGGTGAAAGGGGGTTGCTAGTTACTAATACTGACTCATATTTATTATGTCTGTGGCAAACAAGATCAATATAATCCACTCAATTGATGTCTCAACTTAGACATTTTTGTGCTAAAAATATCAGAGGCTAGGTCCATGTCCAAGACCTTGGATAGCTGGCAGGTAATGGCCATTTATTGAATAAATGGGAAGTTAACACAAGATATAATCATCATATTGAACAATTCGGATAACTTACAGGATAAATTAACACAAGATATAATCAACATATTGTTTTATCTTCTTGGATTTGAAGCTCAACTCCACCTGCATTAGGGCCTATGGTATGTGGGATACTTCCCCCTGTAGATTTCTGGAATGTTGGACATTTGTTGACACAACAACTTGTAATGTGGATAAGGCTTTCCATATGCAGTTTGTTTATGGCCTGATACATTTATTCTTTTCTTCAATTTGGTAAAATGCAAAATGCATAAGCACATGGATTTGTATATGCTGACTTACATGCATGTGTAAAGACATAATCTATAGCCATGTCCACACTCCACATTGCTTGATTTTGGGGGATTGCCATGTCTGACACACTCATATCAAAAGGATGAAGTTTGTGTCCATGGACACATATCATAGATTAGGCCCATGGCAGAGCACAAAACATAATCTACTAAAGAAGCACAAATTTCCTTAGTTGTGTTCATTTAGTTCTAAAGACCTATAAAACCTGACAATAAATAGATTATTCTATAATTCCTAATCTAGTGACATCCAATGGTAAAGATTCCCAATTGGAAATCAAAGTAAAGTTAATTTCCTAACATAGAGCACTCACTTGGGTGATTCTTCACCAATATCATCTTCACCAAGAATCCCTTGCCTTAGTACAGTCTCCAACATTCCAGCTGTCTGATACCTTAGAGAAAATGCCCTCTCTTTGGGGAAAAATCCAATCTGCAGGCTAACCACAATAGATATTCAAAAGAAAACAATGGGATCACAAATAAGCTATAAGCTCTTTTCTCTTCACAAAACCCCATCAAAAAGAAAGAGCTATTTTTCTGGACTAGGAAACTGAGAGATTAAACTTTGCAACTTCAAAGTAGAAAACACTAATATTACCTGCTGATAATTGTCCACAGTAAACATATTAGTTTCTTTGATTTTGTACTCTGCCCATTCAGGTTCAGAATCATATCCCGAAGTTGAAGCACTTGAAGAAGGCTGTTTTATGTATAGCCTACATATGTCAAACACAGCATAAAATATTTCAGGTAATAGTAAAACAATACATGAAAGCAAATCATACCTTCGATATATCCCCTATGAACTCATAAAGCATCAAAACTTCAATCTAACATTTTCGGCTTTTCGCCATTAAAAAAAGGGTGTTGAGATATTGACTTTCCATGGTTAACTAATTCAAGAATATGAAATTCATAATCCATGAAAATGAACTCAAACTTGAAAAAGTTGAACCCTACTCTGCTCTGATAATTAACTATACTCAACCTGCAGTTAAAAAAAAAAAAAAGTCTCCAAAACTATGATGGTGAAACAGTCACAAGGTTTGAGAGAAAAGATCACCCAATACAATAATATCAACAGGTCACTTGAGAATTACAAACCTGACATCGCGCTGTAAAACCCGAATCTTATAAAATCCAAATAAGAAAGCCATCAGGAAATGGAATACGTTTACAATATAAGTTTGATTCATAGCATTGGCAGAACTTCTATATGTTGACTTCACAAGTATAGAGCCCCTCTGGAACTCGAGAATGTTTCAAATAGGAGCTATCTGTTCATCAATGACTAAATTGCATGTTCTCGTAAAATATTCCAGGGATAAAAATGAAGAAGATGATAAAACTGGAATATATTGCCTCTTAGCTAGTCATAACCAACGATTACATGCTCCTATATATATAACGAATTGCATGAGAAGCTCGTGGAGGGGACCTACTATAAGAAATAAGCTTACGTTTGAATTAAACTAATCAGCTCATCTTCGCCATAGGAGCTCACTGCAAGTCTCGTAGTCACTTTTTGCAACAAATTTCCGTAAGGATCAAATTGCTGAAATATTAAAACAAAGAACGAATAGGTTCACATTACGAAACCTAGATTAAAGAAAAAGAAGGAAGCGGGAAACAAAATTCGAGAAAAGAGAGGAAATAATAGAACTGTTCACACTGACATAGAAGGATCCGTTCCAGTTGCCCAAGTTCAGCGCAATAAAACGATGCAGGTTGTCAATACTCATGGATTCTTCATCTCGTTTGTGTTGTTCTTCTGATACGAAGGACGATGGTTTCACTGCTTGAATTCGAGGTCTCCGAAACGAGGAACTTGAGCGAAGAAATGACTTGGATGTCGAGAAGTTCACGTAAAATTTTGGAGTAAGATTTGAAACTGGGGTTTTGGTCATTGGGGCCACTGAAATGGAAGAAATGGCCGCCATGACTGGTAATTTCATCTCCGGCTGGAAAACCAGTTATTGTCTTCTTGACGCCTTATCCAACGGGAAGACATCAGAAAGAGAGCACCAATCTAAGTATCCAACGGATAGAAGGGATATCGTGTCAATCTGTGGACTGTTGATAAAAAATTTTCGACGAGTGAAAACTGAAACGGGATGGGCTTGTCTGTCTCTCAGGCTCTCACTATGTACCCCTTTGTTGTCCTCTCAGGGAGAGACACCTGTCCCATCAATGATCCCAATCCCTCTCACGTGCGAATCCGAATTTCTAGGCTACTAGCCACCTATTAACAAAAGAAAACGCGGAGGGTGTGCGCGAGTGTGTATAAACTGTAACTAAAGCGCCACTCTCCGGTCACTCGAGCTCAGATTTGTAATGGAAACGAAGCAGCAAATCAGCTCCTCCTCCGACGTTACCACAATCAAACCGCTCTGTTGCATCGTGAAACTCGGTATTTGCAAACTCTCCATCGCTCTTTTTGTTAAGTCCACTGTTGACTGAACAGTGATTTTTTTTTTCCGAATTCCAGATATGCTTACAAGTTACAAGTCTTTTTAATCCGTTACGTATTTCAGGTGGTGCTGCAATTACTTGCAAAAACGAAATAGAGAAGATAAATGAAGAAAATCTTGGAACTGTTTCTTCACAATTGAGACACGCAATGATCTCAAGTCCTCCTCCATTAAAGTCTTTTGGGATGGATTGGAGCAAGCGACCTGGGACTTCAGAAATTTCTGTCGAATTCGAAGATCCAGCTTTGCCAGACTACAGCAATTTTCTTGTTGTTCATGGAGCAGGTTAAGTTTTCTTTAAGATTGATGCGATTGGATGCTTGTATTTACACCATGATGGAGCTAGAGTTTCGGATTGGATAAATAGATTCATCGAGTTCATTTGTTTAGGCTCAGTTTGGAAGGAGTACAAATACAAATTTGTAGAGTGCAAAACCTTGTATTTTATATTATTTTGTATGTATTTGCAGAGTACATATTTGTATTTGTACTCCTACCAAACTGAGCCTTAATGTCACAAGTATTAGGGATAGTTTTGGCTTCTGCTTGGAATTGGTGTCTACTAAGGAAGTGGCTCTTTGTTACAGCTCTGGCATCTCGATGTATTGATCTTTATCAGTTGTTCGATGCAGGTTCGTTTGGTCATTTTCAAGCAAGTAGGTCGGCGGTCCACAAGGGAGGATTGCATCTCCCTCTTGTCAAGGCTGGCTTCGTGGCTACCCGTATTTCTGTAAGATTTGATGCTCCTTGCTAATGCTTTTTTGTTCCTCATCTTGTTTAATATTCATTTCTGTTAAATTCTAAAATTTCATTCTATGCATTCTCTAATGCTGTAGCGGGTGCAAAGTTTCATAGCATTGATTCTCATGTGTGGACTATGCTTAGTGTATTTGCCTTGTACACTGTCAAACTAAATTTATTTGGAGGTATAAGACTATAGAAAACACTTAAGTTACTATTTCAAGTACTATTGGGGATACTTATGTAAGTTATCAAGCTATTTGCTTGTTCATGGAATTGAAGTATTTACGACAAAAAATTCAATGCTGAACTTTATCCATTACCAAAAAAATGCTGATTTTGTTTTATTTCTACTTGGCGATGGGGGACTGGGGATATAAAAAACTTCTTCAACCTCTAAACATTTTTAGGTGGAATACCAATTATGCATTGCAAGAAGAGACACTAGAACAATTCAATCTCCCCCAAACAATGATTTCCAAACTCTCTATACATCATGTTGCCAGAGTGTACTCTATACATCAAGACTTTCATTGTAATGTATTAATATGCTTCGTTTTATTTATCACTGTTATTTTGGCACTCCAGTACTTTTGTATTCCATCTGCAAGTTCTCCAACATCATATTTCATACAATTGGTAGCTTTGTTTATCTTTTGACATCTGCTCCATGGACTCCTGGTGGCTATTCAGGTTTTGTAAGTGCTGATTTTATTTTACTTTTCTTGGTGGGGAGACCAAGGATATAAGAAACTTCTTTAACCTCAAAACATTTAGGTGGAATACCAGCCATGCATTGCAAGAGGAGGCACTAGAACTATTCAATCCTCTCTCTTAGGATCTGAACTATCTATACATCATGTTGTTTTATTTATCACCATTATTTTGGCTGTCCAGTACTTTTTTGTTCTATCCGCAAATCCTCCAACGTTATATTTCATACAATTTCTAGCTTTGTTTATCTGTTGACATCTGATCCACAAACTCCTGGTGGCTATTTAGGTTTTGTAAATATTGAATGGAGAAATCTTGTTGCTTGTTTATTATTTTGGTCTTCTATGAGAATGAGTTCCTGCTAACTGCTTTAAGAAGGTTTCTTTTAACATCTCCAGATGAAATTAGAAGTTCCCTTCGTTCTTTTATGATATTATAAGTTGTCTTTGGGATGGATAAATATTGAAAAAGCAAGTGTAAGTCATTAATTTACTTATTAATCAGAGTCTCATATTGAAATTGTGAGATGAAATTAGGATCTTGTGATTGTTTACCATTTTGTTTGTTTCATTTGTTTCAGGTTACAACACTCAATATTGAAATTGTGAGATCGCTAGCCAGAGGTATTCATTATGCTATTGGTTTTTCTTTTCTATTTTTTTTCTTTGAGTTTTATTAATTTGTTCTGCATAGTTTTCAAGGCACCAATGCAAGGCTAGGCAAGGGGAGGGTTCCTAGTCAAACTAGGTTACAGATTTATTTATTTTATTTTTTAAGATTCTCTAGGTTCCATAGCAGCCTGCAACCATTGTTCACTATATATAATCTTCACGAAAAGCATAATTTTTTATTAAAATATAGAAAATCAACATATTCATGAGAATTAAAAGAAGAAAGAAAGAAAAGCATCTGAGAAAATTTTATGTTCTTCCTTGCTTATCGGTTCAGGTTTTGAAATTTTTGAGGGTTCAAGACAGCATACATGAACATGTGTTGATTAAACCCTAGCAAATAAAAAACAATAAAGAGAAACTAGTATATAAACACACAAAATGAATAATTTAGTTCATGTATATAAACAATAAAAATAAACAACACTTAATTTCATGACAGAGGAGGGTGTAGTCATTGCTTTGTTTTCAGGCTTGATTGGAATTGGGGACTCACCCCGGGCTGAGGTTATGGCTGTGGTGGAGGGTGCAAAAGGGCTTAGGAATTAAGTATTAACAGATTGATCATCGAAAGAGACTCAAAAGTGATGTTAGGTTGGTTAGGGAAGGAGGATGAGGGTATGTGGCCATATCTAAATGAATGAAAATCCTTCAAGGGGCTGACTCAGGGTATGGAAGTGAGATTGCAGTGGGTTAAGAGGAGTGCCAATTCATTTGCAGATACATTAGCCAAACAAGTTGTGGGAAGGGGTCAGTCTTTTTGGGTTGTACTGTAATTTTCTTTTTATTTTTTGGGGTGTGTTAAGAGAGTTTATCTCCCCACACCTTTGTACTTATTCTTAATTATCTAATGAAACAATTCTATTATTGATAAAAAAGTTTAGTTTAATCATATGTATTTACTAGTAAGTGTGCACATGCTTTGCACGTGGCAATTCTAGATGATGATAATTATAGTAATAATATATCCAAAAATTTCTATAAACTTTATGTATTTTTTATTTTTTGTTTTATATTTTTTTTGTTTTTATTATTAATCAATATTGCAAAGTTCAAATCTGATTACATAAACACCTCATCCAAATATGTGATAATCAAATTGAACTATAAAGTTTCAAGTATCATTGACATGCCTACCTGCTTGGCTAGGCTCTTATGTTTGTAGTGTTTTATCTTTTTGGTGTATCTTTTTTCTTTTGTTCATTTATCAAAAAAATGTAAGGTTTAAATAGAGGGAATGAAGCGAAAAGTAGCAGTTCAATTTACAATTTAGTCATTACAATTAAATAGGGACTAAATTAATTGAATTAAATTCAAAAATGAGTATTTTAGTCATTGCATTAGAAATCAGACCAGACCGAACGGTTGAACCATTTTGGCCCGGGAACCAGTCAAGTCACTAGTTTCATTTTGGCCTTGAACCGCTATTTTACAAAAAAAAAATGTTTAAATGGTCAGAGAACTACTGACCCGAACGGTTTAACCATTAAAATGTTTGACCCGACTAATGGTTCTTAGGTTGCTTTCAAACTAATTCCAAATTTTTTATTTATTTTAAAATAGAATTTAGAAAATAAATAAAATAAAATAAAAACTTTCATATCTCATAATCTTGTTCAATTATTCCCAAATGGCCAAAATTAGTTAGGGTTTTTAGTTTTTTTATTTTGATTTTGAGTTTTCTCATTTCTGTGACTCTTTTTAAGTTGTAACAACAAAAAAATTGCAACTCTAATGAAGAAATTGAAAAATCAATGCAAGAGATGAAAGATTAAACACCGATCTTGTATTAAAATTTGAGAAACACAAGTCACTAATGAAGCAAACGATCTGGGATTTGAGAGAGATTTAAAGAGATGAGAAAGATGTAAGAAGAGGGAAAATGGTGTTGTAGTGGCGATGATGATGAACATGGAGATAGCCGCCAATGGCTTCTTCTTCTTCTTCTCAAGGCAAAATGGTTATGCAACAATGATTGGTAAACATGGTGACAACCACCTCTGGCGACGCTTCCTTCTCAAGGCAAAATGGTTATGCAACAATGACAATCACTAACGATGCTTCCTTCTTCTTCTTCTTCCTTCTCTCTCTCTCTCTCTTTCTTAATTTCTCAGCTTTAACCAGTCACCTCCTTCTCAAAGTCTTATACTCCCCTCTCATAATAATGTATATAGACAGTGGACTTTAACTTAATCCTAATCTAACGGTCAATATAAAATGTTACATTATATTCTACATCTTACCAGTTTGACTCGCTCAAACTGGACGGTTTAACCCCCTGACTCGGAAACCAGAAGCCAAAGCAATTTCGTTTCTGGGTCGGTTTTTTAAAACCATGATTTTAGTCAAAATAAAGTTCCACAATCTTATTCATATTTTTAATAATAATGTAAATATAGAATTATAGATGTGTTCAATTTTTTCTATAATTTTTTTTTGTATTTTTGTGTGTACAAACAATTCTGATGTCACACTTACATTTTGTTTAATATGATAAATACATGATATTATGCATGTGCCTGAATTTTTTTTTTACAAAATTTATGTATTTTTTTCATTTTTTATTTTTATATTTTATTAATTTTTATTATTTATTTATGACATTAAAGCTTAACACATTTGACTCAAAAGTTAAACTTTTTATAATTATTTTTTATATTTCATTTTTGCTCAGTTATAAATTATGTATTTCATTTTCATTATGAATAAAAATAAATCTTGTTTATTACACTTATTTTTCTAATTTGAGTAATAAAAATATCATAAATGTGTCTAATTTTTTCTACATTTTTTTGTAAATTTCTATATTTATTTCTACTTTAAAAAGTTTATTACCTAACTATGACTTCATAAGGTTGATCAACTTGATTTGGATGGTTGAATTGCTTAGCCACCACTTGGATAAAGAATGGTTTTGTTTTTAGATCAATTTTACAATGAGTTTATATTGTTAAAAATATTGACATAGATCTAATTAGTAGCATTTATTAGTGAAAAATAACTTAAAAATATAGGATTTAATAAGAGAAAATGAGATTTAATACCTTAAGTATAAGACTTAATGAGAGGGGATTAAATGAGGTGGAAAGTAATAATTGAAGTTACATTTTCAACGTTTACAATTAGAGATGGATTAAATACACAAATATGGTCATTACACTAGCCATTAAAACTGGCATTAAAACTATAATAAAATGAACTTTATACCCTTTCTCAAACAAAGAAATAGAGGGTAATTTTAGTCCAAAAAAAGTTTCACACTGCATTCACACTCTTATATATAGTATAGATTATTATAATTTCAAAAAGAAGTGTATAAAAAAATTTCATATCACAACATGTACAAAATAGCTAGGCACTTTAGTAAGATGACCTTCCATAGGCACCTTGTTAGCTAGGCATTGTCTAGTCGGCTAGTTGCCCAACTATAGAAATTAAAATGCTTTATCATTCAAAGGAAAAAAAAATTAAATAAAAAAGTCCTACCCTATGAAGAAGTCAAGAAGCTAAAAAGTTTCATTATTTTACAAGGGCGATGGAACCCTGTTTACACTAAACAAAACCATCTTTTAAAGTGGCTGGTCTATGTTAGGCTCCCATCATTATTTTGTTGGCAACTGGGCTAAGTCAGTTCAGTTGTGCTGCAATTGTCTTGAATAAATTTTCAAAAATCTGCATAACAATCTCCATTTTTGGCGATCCATGGTACTACTCTTGTTTGATAGTCTTATTTTTCAATTCTGTGGGTGGGTTTTAATTGCTTTATGGTCTTGGTGATAACTATTTTGATTTTTGACCAATTAGTTTGAGAAATATTTCCATCTCTCAGAAGAGGATAAAAAGTTGTCCCTACTCATTTATTTGCATATAGTACACATAATTATGACCTACAATGTAATTTGTCCAAATGAAATGATTTCGCTATCCCAACATTGTGAGTTACAAATTCTTGCTTGATCTTTTCTATGTTTATTTGAGCTGGATTTTCATGGTGAGAACCTTCTGATATGTACAAAATGTGTGTGACAAGTTCATAGATGGTATCATGGTATATGCACACATTGATGGCTATCTGGGGACTTGGAAGGGGTAGTCTGGATTTAAGTTCATAGATCATCATCCATTCCCATGTTTCATCAACAGGCATTCACAAGCTTTTGTGATATTTCACATTATGAAACTGTTTTTCTGAAAAAAAGTTAATAGGATTAGCAAGTTTCAATTACCAAGTTACTCATGGAAATTGTGCCATTATTTGGTCTTCATCCACATATTTTCAAATTTCAGAATGGTAGGCATATGTTGGAATTATAAGTCAGAGTCTTTCTAACAGATTTCTATTCTGGTTTTGCAGAGGGAATCCCATCTGTTGGAATATCACCATTTGCTTGTGGATGGTCCACTTGTGAAAGACATGTTAGAAGCATTCAGAAGAACTTGTCTCTTATAATATTATTTGCACCAAATGTCTTGATTGTTTTCATTCATTAGGTTTTTATTTCTAGCTCCAGACCCAGACAATTCAGGCTTTCTTTTGTGTATTTCTGACAGATGGCTCACGCTGACATATCTCAGGTGGTAAAGGCTATCAACTCTGGTTTTGTCCCTGTAAGTTTGGAACTTGTTGCTTAGATCTTTTTTTGATGTGTCATTAGTCCTTTTTAGATGTTTTACTTTCCACAATGTGAACATTTGTAGTAATCTATAGTTTGATGAATTATGATTTATGAAGTAGTGTACGACTTAGTTTTTCCATTCTTATATACATTAATGTTATGATAATCTATTTAAACTGAAGGGAACTAAAATATTGTAACAATATTTTGCTTTTACATAGCTTTCCAGACCCACAGCTTATTTGGTTAAGCATCTTCAGTTGTAGGTTACATGTTATCAGAGAAAGGAACAGAAGAGGAAAAACATGTTCCTTTATTAGAAACGGTAACTTTCATTCAGTGTTTTAAAAGCACAAGGCACAAGGCAAGGCATGCGCCTTTTTGAAGCAAGGCGCAAAAATACCAAAAAAAAATGCTAAAAAAATGTCAGAAAATGTAAAAAACTGCAAAAAAATATTAAACATAATATTAATAAAAATATACTTAAATTTTAAAATTAATGTTTTATAAAACCTATTATCTAAAATTAAAATACATAAATATAACATGTAAAACATATTCAAATGAAATTTTAAAAAATAGAATCAACCATATAAAACCCACAATCTCTTTTTTTCCTCAATTGCATTACTTCAAGTAGCTAATGTGATGTAAAACATATTACATTCCTGATTCTACGAGCCGCCTTTGTGCCACGCCCCTCGAGGCAAGCCCAAACAAGTCCATGTTAGGGGCTTAAATTCTTAATTTTCAGCTTCTTGAATCTCACTCTATTTGGTTTTTGTAAGCTGTTTGTCTTCCCAGTGTATTCCGCTGGGTTTCTGTTGTAACTCTTTTCTCTATCATCAATAAAATTTTTACCTTACCTTTTCAAAAAAAAATACCGTTGATAGCATATCTAAAGGGGTCAAGCATCAAGAAATTGGTTGATATATTTCCTTTCGTGATCATTTCCTAGGGTTTCAATAAGCAATGACCACAATGGATGAGAGGTTGATTGAGTGGTTAGAATCATGCAGTCATTGTGCTCAATTGAGGGTAGGCTACACAAATTACATGGTATAAGATTTTCATTATACCCTAGATTTAATTGCCCATTTTGAGGGATTTGACTGAGATCCTCTTTTTTCTAAGAAACTTATTCGAAACATTGTCAAGCAGGTTTAATTACTCTTGTAATTCAATTTAGGTTTGTATTTCTTTCTGTCCATGTCCTCAGGATTTATCATCTGTAACACCCCCCCCCCCAAAAAAAAAAAAAAAAACAGTATGCTTTGGCTTACTAAATCAAGGAAAATCTGTAAAATGGTTCTAGACGGTATGGGATTATGCTTCTCAAATTGCATCTTTTATTTTTCTTGCCATCTATAGTTGTTTAGATCTTAAAATGTGAATCTAAGTATCTCTAATATATCATACACAGTTCATTGTTTGTTTAGGTTTTGCATGGCGATGCTGTGATTGATGAGTCGCAGGTCAGGTTTATCTGAGTATATTTTTTGTGAGTTATGTTTTTCTTGTCAGTGACAAGACTTAGCATTATTTACCACTGATGATTGGACCACTTGATCAAACAGGGTTGCACCATATTGAGTGGTGATGTGATCATACGCCATCTTGCAGAACTATTGAAGCCTGAATATGTTGTTTTTCTTGTATCCACTCTATTTAGCCATATAATTCTTTATGTATATGTAACTTGACTACAATTTTGTCATTTATTTTTTACTATATTTCTGCTTAACTTAGTAAATCCAGTAAGGGCATGCATCTGCATTTTTACATTGTATGAATATTATTCTGTACAAGTATACAAGAGAATAAGTATATGATTTTAATTGTTTCTAGATGAATAAGTTACACATTATAATTTTAGAAATAATTATCAAAGATAGCTAACAAGATTGCCATTCCAAAATACTTGAATACCCAACACATTTTATTATCAATAACCATAATGCATCTGACACATTAATGGCCTGTCCTAGTTGTACACATTTTTCCCCCTAGGCAAATGAGCCAAATAAAAAGTTTTAGCTCATTCCAAATCCCTCAATCCAATGTGTACAACCAGGAAGGTTTCAGCTGGCTCAGCTGGTAAAGTTCCTGCTGGTTGTAGCACAGATTTTGATCAAATCACACCTTCATCAGGAAGGTGAGATATGGACCTTCATTTCTTTATTGACTGCCTTTCATGTAGAGTAAATGTATACAACTTTCTGATTGGTGTAGATCCATGGCAAGCTGATTTAATTCTGCTGGGCTCCTGATAGGAACCTGCCATTAGATCAATTACAGAAAAAGCAAGAGAATTTTCAAGCAGCTCTTGAGTTCTCTGAGCATAAAGATTAACTGCAGCTACCCCGTTGGTCATCTTTCTTCTGTATGACGGGGAAAATATATTTTTTCGTGTTAATGTTACTTTTATTTCTCCTTGCCAACCAGAAGTCACCTTCTGTACCCTCCAAAAAAAAATCACATCAACTTTGTTAACAATCAGGACAATTGGCCAAATGGATCTGAAACTGCCATCAGCTCTCATATGTAGTGATCTCCTAGAAAAAACTTATGCACCATGTACCTAGACCAGGAAGAAGCCAGCTGTTGCAACTTGCAACTTGCAAGTTGAAGGGGCTAGAAGGGCTAGGGGCAGACCAAGAAGGGAATTGGTTGAAGTAGTAAGAAATGGCTTAAGAACTCATAATTTAACAATGGATATGGTACTAAACAGAATTCATGTAGCTGGCCCCATATAGGTAGGATAAGGCTTAGATGATGATGATGAATTTATTCAATTTATTTTACCTCATACTCCCATAAAAAGTATATTTTTCAGTTAAAAAATAGAATGATTACTAAAAAGTTTAAAAAATAGAACGGATATATCAGAGTCAGTTTCTCAATTCCTGTTTTTGATTATCACATGTCCTTTATATTCTACTGTATACAAGATGGAATTTCCTGTGTACTTTCCTATATCATATGGAATAAAGACAGATGTTTTGGGAGTATATGACCGTCCACCTACAGATCCCAATGCTATACTTCTACAGGAGATTGGTAAGCACATTTAATGTTTCACTTTCTGTTTCACCATACTTATTCTACTTAATTAAATGTTTAGGAGGTTACTTAGGGTTTCTGCTGCACCTATATATAGTTCTATAGACTAAATACTCACTATCAGGTTCAGCTCTCATATGAAGAACTGACCTTTCAACTGTTACAGCTGTAGATGAAGATGGGAGCTGGTCTATAATTAAACCAACACTAGAAGGCATGAATAAGGAAGGTCAGTGAAAAGATACTCTGACTTCCATGTTTTGAATGTGGTTTTTGTGCGAGTTTGCTATTAAAAAGATGGATCATCCCTATTGGGATTCTGGACTTTATTATCAGTGATGTATCTTAACCTGAAGTATTTACTACTTCCTAAACAAGAACAAGTTTGCCAGCCAGCTAATTGCTCAATATTCATTTTCTTTGTATTGACAGTTGAAATAACAGTTGCAGCCCATGATACAACAGGAGGGATGGTGACCAAGATATCAGAAGCTGCAATGATAGCAAAGCTTGGAATTGATGTATACATTGTGAAGGTGGTTTCAAACATATTATGATCTCATATTTTTTTTCAAACATATTATTATCATCTCATAATTTCAATGTAGAGGTATTACTAGGCTTTGTCATTGATGCACAGGCTGCAACAGAGCACTCTTTAAGAGCCTTAAAGGGAGAGGTGAGAGGCCACGTTCCTGATGATTGGCTTGGGACTGTCATCCGATCTTCAAAATAGAGCCACCACTCCACCAGCCTGATTTTGAAGATCCCATGCAAAATATGAGAGATATTTATGTTCCAAAAGTTGCTTATCGAAAAGGATGTTCAAAGTGATTACAAACATGTTTGCCAGGAAAGATGCTTGGCTCAAAGATTGTGTAGTGACCTGTGGATTTTTTTTTTTTTTTGAACTTTTTTAAAGACAATTTGGGATCTATGATGCTTCTTTTCCCCATCTACCAGTTCCACAATTAAGCTATGTTTGGTTTGATATAAAATAAGCGAAAAAAAAGGAAAGTTCTGAAAACATTTTGTGAAATTCCTTAAGAACTTATAGCTCTTTTATTTTCTACCAAACCAAACAAAACTTTAAGAGTTTTAAGTTCCCTCTTGAGAGGCTATTCGTCAACCAATAGCACACGGAAACAGAGACACATATAAACAGCATTATATGAAGCCAGCAAATACAGATTTCTCATCCATATTCTTTGAGAACCCTTCTAAAGATTGTAACTTGTAAACACATGAAATTCTGAAGCAGCCTCTACAATGATCATTCGTTTTTAAGAAAGATAAAGACACGGGACACCGTCCTTGTTTAAATTTCTTGTTCCGAATCCAGTAACTTGTTCAACTCTTTTTTGTAAGGATTGGATCTGCATTAAAAACCTATTCTCTTAAAGCTACAGGATTCTTTGGCCATATTGGTTACAATTTGGCTACGATTACCCAATCATATTAGTATGAATTGTGAAATTTTCATTGGGCATGGGTAATAGCCAAACCCAAAAATATGCTTGGTCATATCCAGTGTTGACTCGTAAGAGGGCTTCTGCTAAACCCACTGACCCTTTAAAGCAAACTTCCCAAGCTGGTAGCTATTTTGCAATTTCCAAGGCTATAAACCTGCAATATCCCGTATGAACTCCATTGTAACTTGTATGGAGTAATTCCAGTAGGCAAACACCCTTTACACCCTCTAGTTTATACACGCTGCCAATAGGGGCGTCAATGGCGGTTATGGATTGGATTCGTCCACACCAAAATCAATTTGGACGGGTTGGACAGACCAAGCCAGACTTAATGGTCCAAAGTATTTATTGGATTGGATTGGACCTGGTCCCATCCGTGATGAATTTATATTGGATTGGGTTGAATTATTAGAATTAATCTAAATTAAAACAATTTTGAACAGATTGAATGGTCCAGTCATTGAATTCGACCAGTCCAAAATGGTTTAAAATATTTATTGGATTGAATTGAACTTGGTCCATTTGTAATGGACTCACATTGGATTGGATTGGATTGGACCAAATCCAGTCGAATTGATACCCCTGGTTGCCAAAATGATCAGATCCATGATAAGGAACTTAGAATACAAGGTGGAAAATGGGAATTTGGATTAGTTGAACGCTTTGGCTGTTCAGCGGGTTGTGAAACCAATTATAAGATTCCACGCCATTAATAAATTCATGGGCCCCAGTGTGAAAGGTGTGGGCCTCATGTATTTTATGACTGGATAAGGTTTCACAGCCCGCTAAACAACCAAAGCGTTCAGCTAAACCTTGTTTGGCGAATGGAGAGAATTCCACCACCTCTATGGAGTTACTGACATGAATTCCACATCTGCAGCTGCACGTAGATCGTAGAAACCAGGAGTGATGGTCTAAGGATTGGGCATTACTTCAACTTGCTACACCATTCGTTGTCTCATGCAACAAATAAAACAAGTCTTGATGAGCAAGCTGCTACACTAGATCTTATCACGAGCCCCGTAATCATCTTTCATCATATTATCAATTAAGCCGAGATGTAAAATTTCATTTTGGACTCGGTTATAATCTAGTCTGGAGCAGCATTGACAATGGGGAGAGGGGGAAGTTATAATTTAATGCCTATCCCAAATTTAATAGATTTAGTGCTGATGTCTGGCATTATTTATGCTTCAATACGAAATATGCATTCAATAGTATTGCCCTATGGAGCTACAGTTAAAAAGGCCGATATCTACAGCTCCCGTATCCATAAACCCAAGTGACGCTATTTACACCGGTTACGGGCCATCAACGCCAATTGGGAGGGAGGGAGGGCTTTATGAGGCGGGCCCCACCTAAACAGCCCATAAGCTAAGATACATTTGGTGAAAACCAGAAGTACCCGGGTAGGCGGGCCCACATATTAATGCGCTTACCCGGGCAAATGATTCTCGAGGGTGCCAGCGAGTAAAGCTTTGGGCAGAAGATTTTTGATGTTTTCGTCCTTTCAATGAATAGAAAAGTTTACCCACCGCTAGTGTGAACCCAAATTTGATTCTCACAAAATCACACTCATACCATTACCATCCTCACAGCCCCTTATAGCTGTGCATTGGGGATATCTTAATAAATAGAGAGAGATAGTGAGAATCAAATCCGAATTCTCTTTTGATATGTATGGTTTAAAAGCAATTGATGAAAGCATTTATAACAGACATTAACACCACATCAGCAAAAATGCCAATAAATAATAAACCTTGGATGAAGTTTCAAAATGAAACTTTTTAAACAGAAGAGATGCACAAAAATCGATACATACAAAAAAACAAACATCAATACGTACAAGTATACATAATAAAACCTTTGTTGATAGGACACGTGGCATAATTTACTCAATAAACACTCTGACACCACCGGAACCAAAAGAACCAAGGCAGAGCATAACTTGTTTGTCAACATGTGCATTAATTCTTGAAATTGCGAGGGTATTAGCTGTGTAATTATCTAATTGTAAATGCGCGTGCCCTGAGTGGGCCTCAATGTCTAGACATGTCAATACACATCACTACACGCATCGCGCCAAAGATTGTTTGGCCGGACGGAAAATATCTCGACTACTGTATTTGTAGAGAATCTTAGTTGTCAACGATAACCTTTAACCTTGACTCTGTATGCCGACAACACAATAGTCATCACTGATCCAAGATACTGGTAAGCCGGAAATATCACATACGGTCCATTCAAAGATCCTCTCATACTGCTCATGCTTCACACAGACAGGTGACAGGACAATTGTTTTACGGAAAAGGGGAGTAAATTTTCTGAAGGCCTATTATTTTCCATCTGTCAAAGGACCCATTAACCATAAGCCAAATAACCATCTTGCATGAATAGAAAGGTGAAAACTTGCCATAAAAAAGAAAAACAATACTTAAAGAGGTTTATATACAGTCTTGCTAGAAATGAAGCTTGCCTCGTTGCATACCACACAACAAAACGATAGACGGCAGTTTTCTAATTCAAAGCATCAAAAATATTGAATAAAAGCTGCTATTGAAAAACAAAGTCCTGAAGATGCGTTAACCCCACAAGTGTAAAACCACGGCAGCGAGTATTCCATGCCCGAAGGAAACCCTGGTTTAATTCCAAGTAAAACCATTGCAAAAGCTACTAACTATATCTTCTCGGTCCAAAATAAGAGACCTTACAAAAATCTTAACCTCAAATTGCAATAATAAAACACAAACCAAGGAAAAGCTACTTGGGGCCAATGTCCTTGAGAGCACAGATCTGCTCTTCGCCCATTGCAGACATGACAGTCACAACAAGATCTTTCCCCTCAGCAAAACCATCTTTGATCTGCATTCAATTAAGATGAATCAGAGTTACTGGCCCATGATAGATAAGGGCAAAGGGGCTCCAAAAAACATAGAAGCAATATAACATGGAACCAAACAGGAAAATCTTTCTAGCACAGTAACATTATATTGCATCTGCGAACAAACCAGAAGCAACAAACATTTCAGACGCCCAGCAAAGACTAGGGGGAGAACCCAAATAGGAATTTCAAGTGGTTAAGTTCTAGCATTAAAGTATAGATAATTCCCTTTTTAAAATTATCAATATAGGTAATTCCCTTTATCTCAAAAAATAGCTCTTAACCCAAAATTTAAATCATCCAAATAATGTACTGGCTATTTACCATAACCCTCCCCCCGGCACCCCAAAAAGTCTGATAATTATAGTGTAAAAAAGTACATATAAACACCCACGATGCAGGCACATGCAACGAATATCACAAAAAATACAAGTAAAAACTGAAAAAAAGAGAAAATCAAAAAACAATGAGCTGGTAGAAGTCAACTTACCGAGGTAAGCAACTGTTCATCTGTTGGGAGCCTCAAATCATCTTTAGTATTACCATTTTCAGTTAAAAGACTCACCTGATACATTCAATATGAGATCAAACAGAGATTCACAAAACATAGCACAACTGAAGAGAGAAGAAGTATGGACATACAAATCCGTCTTCAGAAATATCAATCAGCTGGTAGTCAGTACGAGTGACATGGGGAACCTTTACACAAGTAACAATAGCATATTAACGTCAATGAAAGAATTGCAAATGCAAATGGATAAAAGGATAACATAAAAGAAAGCACCAGGAAAGTGAAGCCATTACATCACAGTTATGGGAAGATGGCACAATATCTTCAAGCTTCTTAGCATTGAAGATGTCAATTCCAACAAAATGGCACTTAGCATGTCCGTGCTTGCCAGTCTTGGAAGTTGAAACCTCCACAACCTGCAACCAGAGTATGTTGTCCATGTTATTGCCTAATTTCATAAAACAAGTTTTGAGTTGTAAAATGACCAAGTGAGAAGGAACGAAAGAACACCACTTCAATGTTTCAACTTGGAGCAAATAACACCAAAACAACAAGCTTGATGAAAACAAAACCAACAATCACGAAAACTAAGAATATCCGTAGGCATATAATACCTAGAAAAATTACACATGTTTTTTCAGTTGCAACTTCAGACCATCAAAATCTATTCCATTGGTTAACAATGCATAATCATGGACTAGAAGTATTTAAATAAGTAAGAGCAGCATTATGACAATGGCAACAAATGCATAAAAAACTACTTTAAGACCATAGCAAGGCTACGCAAAGTAATTTGAACTAAGGGTTGAAATAGCAACTTTTCTACTCCCATCGGAGTTTTTGAATGCGCAAGTTAGAAGCAGAACCATGTCACATAGAAAAACATAATCATCGTTAAATACGTATGCACCATGGTTTAAAGAAAATTTGCACTGACATTACATAGTCCTTCGAATCCAGACATAACCAATAAGACTAATGAAAACTGATATAAAATAAGGGAAAAAACTGAACCATAAAAACCCCGGAGGAGTGCAGATATGGACTGAACATAATAAGATAATATGAGATATAAAAATAGATAATGGTAGACTAAAGAAATAACATTTAAGTAGTCACCGTAATCATATAGTAAACATGGATATGGAGATAAAAATTTTGAATAGTTAACATAGAAATTGGAACAAATCAATCAAAACATATCGTCAGATAAACGTCTACGCAATTAGTACGCAGGGCAGAACACGTGAAAAAAAAAATAAAAACGAAAAAAAAAAGATCATAAAGCTTGAAAGAACTGCCTGGAAGCTCCATACATGCAAAAAACAGATGTCAAGTAACATAAGATCCAGAAGTGAAACACACGAAGATCTGCAAGGGAAGAGATTTCTACCTCCTAAAACAACAAAAAAGAAGAATAAAAACGCCATCGCAACTATCAGTTAAATTCAAAACCAAAACAAAATGAACCGAAGAAAAACGGTATGGAAACTCAATAAAAAACGCTAAATTTTGAGACATTCTCACAATATATTAAGAGCACAGGTAAAGAATAGATAACAGGAGCAATCAATAACAAAAAAGTCAAGACCAATAGAGGCTACAAAAGCTAAAATTCTAAGCATAAGACCCTAAAATCTCTTAGAAATCAAAATCTCATAAAAGAGGAGGACAAGCTAAACGATAAACAAAGGAAGCATTAAGGATCTGAGAAACAGCAATGAATCCACTATCCAGATCTATAAGGGGAAACATTTATTCATAACAGATCGAGAAACAGACCTTGCAAGGCCTCCCCTTAATCACAATGTACCCGTTCTTACGGATCGTTCCGGCCTGCTGAGGGTAGGTCTTTGAAGCTCCAGCATCGGCCTTCGACTCGAAATGGTGTTCCTCGTCCGACATGGCTACTGAGCTTTCCAGTCGGGGAATGCAGATAGTGGAGGGAAAGTTGCAGAGAGCTGGATAGAAGACTGAGTATAGGGTGAGAGAGAGAATCAATTTATATACAGATTCTATCTCTCTTTCTCTCTCTCTCTCACGACTTATTTTTATGTTTCGAACCCAACACAGGATTCCGGGCACCTAGGGTTTCATAAAATTATCCCTACAAACTCTGTTGCGTCCGCTTCAATTTCTACCGTCAGATCCCTCCTTTTGTGGACGGCTAGATTGCAAAAAATGACTTTAGCGTAATAAGGACGCTGAAGGCTGCAAACCCGCACGTGGGCTGCCAAGGGCCCATTTTTGCCCATATCCCTATTTTGGCCTCGGGAGACGGAATTAAGCCGTAAGAATTTAAGTCTTTGAGATCACATCAGCGCCCCATATGCATATCTCAGCGTGTAAACATCTCAGAAGTTCCCTGAGATGTTCCTAATACACAGTTTGGATGTGCTGTGAGACGTCAACGGATTCCAATCTTTAAGGCAAGAAACTGGATCCACATCCCTAGCTGCGGATGAAAGTTATAACGTAATGGAATAGGCCCAGGATCATCAGATCCACAAGCAGCGCATAAGAGATTGGATTTGCTCTTCACAGATCGCGCCTCACAGTGCATCATAAGCGTGTTTTGAAAATATCTACCGTGCATACGTTTCCAATACACGGCTGCGATATCTGTGAAGATGATGTGAAGCGCGCTCTGTGAGAGAATATCCGAAATGGCGCATAGGTCCTCAGGAGACCGGATCTGCTCCTTACAAATGGGCGTCTCACACCGACCTCATAGATACATCCCATTGTGTATTGGAAAATTATTATTTATGGGAAATATTTTCAATATACGATGAAATGTGTGAGGCACCCTGTGTCAGGAGTAGATCCCAATTCGATTCTGAGAAAAAAAAAACATTTTTTTTGCACTTTAGGGGTTTCATTCGATAGATTTTGGTTCGTTTCATAGCCTACATTCTATTTTTGAGTCAAATTAAACCAAACCAAATTTAAATCAGTTAATTTGGTTCTCTTTTTTTCTCAAACCAAACTGAAAATCAAAAACCAATATTCCTAAAATTATAAAACCGAACCAAAAACTGAAATAACCAAATTTGAACACCCCTACTCTTTTAAACTTTAACCAAAATTAACTATATAATTATAGACAAGATTATGTAAAAAATAAGGTTTTTTATCAGCTCAAGATGGCAAAGCATGCAGAATCGGGCCTAGACCCAACTCCATTTTGGGTCTAGTTGGGTAGGACCTACAAAAAAATTAGACTTGGTCTATGGTAGAAAATCAGGCGAAGATTTTACTAAAAATTAGGGCCCATTTTAGAGGGTTAAGCTGAAGATTCAATCAATGGTTCATTTGGATGTCGACAAAGAATAGGATGAGAGAGGAAATTTTGCTTTCTCATTTTGGCACCTGTGTTTCCATGCTAAGACCAATTATCTGAGAAAATTTATTTTCTAGTATTTAAATGTTGAGAAAACTTAGTAGAATATCTAACTTGATTCCATTTTGATCAACTGATGAATTGCCCATCCCCACAACATGAACTTAACATTTTAGAAGATGACATGGCATAATAATGATAAAAACTTGCCACATGGCTTCAGTATCCTCATTTTCTCAATCGTGTCATGGAAACCAAAGACCCACTTAGGATATGATGAAAACGAAGACTTAACTAAACTAGTTCAGTTGCTTTGAAGTGCTATGGATAAGTTATTCAAAGAAATTAAAGTAGATAGCCTTTCAAAATTCAAATGAGTAAGAAGGGATTTGGGCTCTCCTGATTTTTCACCAAAAACAGTTTATAAACTGTTCATATGGGGCCCACCTTAGGAAGCCAAAAGTCACTATTCTTCAATCTTTCCAAATAGGCTCTAAGTTAGTTCTACCACTTCGAAGTATTCTAGATAAGCTATTAGAAGAGGCTGAAGTAGATAATCCTTCAAATGACTAAATAACAGTTGATTAGGACTCTCAATTTTTTGCCAAAAATAATTTGTAAACAGTCCACGTGGGCCCATCTCAAAAAGCCAAAGGATGCTATGTTTCAGCCGCCCACTTGTGAGGGCTAAATTGAAAATAAGCTTTACTTCAAATTACATTAATAATATAGGCTATGTTTGCTAACAACCAGCTTAGCTGCCCAAGTCAAATAAGTCAGAAAAGTTGTCTTCACAACGCTTGCAGCCCTAGATTGAATCCAGTATCAGAATTTTTGGGACGGGATCAGCTGCCCATAGAGCATAACCCATAGTTCATCTCATCTGTGCAATGGAACTATCTCCCTATGACACACACTCTATAGACAGCCGATCCAATTGCAGATTTTTCACCAAGCATAGCTTATAGGCAGTATGTCAGCCCCACACAGACAACCAAAAGCTGCATTATAGCTCAACCCTCCCAAATAGGCACTTAGTTGGTCCCCGTTAAGTGAAGAGTTTCCCATGGTGTCTTTTGGCCTCTCGGCTGCATATAAGCAATCATAAATCCAAGCTTATTGTTGTTAAGCCAAAATACGTGTTCCGATAGAAGATTTTTGGTTGAACACTCCAAAGCAACTCAGATTCCGTCCAAGAAGACTGAATCTTCACCAATGCTTATCCGGATCATTTGGAGTACTGTTTGGTCACTTTGAATAGCTTATCCGGATCACTTCAGAGCCGCTGAACTTAAGCTGAATCTTCATGTCAGTCCTTCCAAACAGGCCCTCAATGAAAACAATTTGTTCAACCAATGCTTCAGTCCTAAATGGGCCCTAATTTGCGAATAAGTCAATAAGCTTCAATAGTTCAATCTGCTATCCACCATACACTACAGCCGCATATATTGATCATAGAGAAGATGTGGATTCGTGCAGTAAAAAACCTCAACCCAGGTCCCAGAACTACCTGAGAATTGGGTGTAAAGCTTGTAGTCAGTCCAAATCTAATCTCAATACATGTGGGGAGTGTTTAGAGTTATAGTGTAAGTTGATATGCCCCTTGCAGGATATGTAAGCAAAAAGATGGACTGTCTGATTATATTGTCTTAGAATATGTACAGAGTACATAGAATCAAGAGTCTATTAGTCATCTCAATTGAATTCTATGCAACTTCTTGAACCAGTGAGTTATTTGGTTGTATTCACAAAACCAAAACTTTTGAACCTACACCCAACCTAAACCTTAAAAATCAAACTTGGGAAATCAACTTCAGTGCTCACAAATTGTTCACAGTCCCTTGCAGTCTTGCATTGAGAATTTCTCCCATGAGAAAAAAGCTTAAAAGAAAGGGAGATATTCCCAATAACACTGTAAAAGATTATGTAAACAGTGTGAGTATTGAAGCCGATCTCCAAACTCAATAGTTTGTAAAATTGGAGGCTGAATCCAGGCTTGAGTTGGACACTTCTCAGTTCCCTTAGAGGATATAATGAAGGAGATTTAATTAGAATCCAGATCTGCTCCTCACAGACAGAGCCTCACAGAAAGTTTGAGTAGTGCATCTTCCTATGAATAAAAACTTACAAGGAAAGAGATGTTCCAGATGCACAGCCAAAACATGCTATATAAGGGGAAAATCAGGGTGAATTTACTTAGACTCAGTTTGGAAGGAGTACAAATGCAAATTTGTAGAGTGCAAAACCTTATATTTTGTATGTATTTACACTGTACACACTTGTATTTGTACTCCTTCCAAACTGAGCTTTAATATTAACGACGACAAGCTCATCTTAATCACTTGTGAAGTTAATATATTACTATCCAATATTGTAAAAATAGACCAAGAACCAGAAGTGATTTGGCTATCAGTTTCTAGGTCAGCAGTTTGATCATCCGGTTCAAACAGATGGTTTATTCTAATTTAAAAATTAAAAAATAAGCAAAACGGTTGTCCAGTTTGAATGGATCAACGACCACACAGAGTCAACTAAATCACTGACCAAGGCCGTTTGGATCAATGATCTTTCAAAAACCAGATTAATGCCTATTTTTATTTCTGTTTGATAAGCAATATGGACTGCCCATTGCATCAGACCCTCCAGAATGAGACTGGATCTAGTGGGCATTAGGCACAATAAAGTAAGCACATTAAATGAGCACTTGATAAATATTTTGACAAATGTTAAAAATGGATATTAATCTTTTTCAAGGGTAAGCTGGGGGTATTTTAAGGGTCAAGTATCAAAAAATTTTCTAAGTACTCATTTAACATGCTTACAATGTTGCGCCTACCAAATACAGAAATGCCACATCTCACCCAAGCCCCCATCAACCTTATATGCCACTAAACCTGTTCATGGGCCAGGTTGAGCCGAGCTCGGGCCGAGCTTTTACTCTTCATTAATGGAAATATGTTAGGCCCAAGCCCGGCCCTGATAAAAAATCCGAAGCCCGACCTAATAAAAAAATTAGATTTTTTTCCTATTCAATAATCAATATAAATTAGAATTTATTCACATTAAAAAAAGAATATAAATTCAAATTTTATTTACATTAAAAAAAGAATATAAAGAAGGGAAAAAGAATGTGAAGAAGAAGGGTTCAGCTGGAAAAATAAGGGAAAGGTGAAAAAAATAGGGGTTTTCGACTAGGGTTTTTAGGTTTAATTATAGGTCAGGCCGAGCTATTTTGGCAAATCCCGAGCCCGGCTCGAATTTATTGCGGGCCGGGCTTTTTGGCCCGAGGTTAAGCCCGCAGGCCCATATACCCTGTTCAAGCCCATTCGGGGGCCAGGCCAGGCCGGGCCGGCCCGTCAGGCCACCCGGCCCATGAACAGGTCTATATGCCACCATGTATTGCAATTTTTACCGAGTCGCCCAAGACCCCAGAATACTGTTTCTGGATTCAGGCAAAGAAACGGAATCATATTCTACCTCCCCAATAATCTATCAGAAAGGCTGAAAGAATGCAGTAAAATCAGCAAGCTTCCAGATTCTGCAATTTCATACCCAAACAGTAAAAATGTAAAATCCACAGAATACCATGATTCTACATGTCATTTATTTCAGATCACCACACGTTCAAATCTAGGAAGTTTCTGAATTTTGCACAGAATTCTTCCCTGGATTCATCATTCAAGTGTATAAACAATGGCATCATCAGTAACATAACTGTTGGCTCAACTACAAAAGCGTTTTAGTTGTTACTATTGGTCTTGATCAACAAACACAAAAAAGAATAGGTTATAACAACATGAAAAGCTTGAGTTGAGATTAGAGCCTTGTATTTACCTGAAATCACCTTTGCCTTGTCGGCCTCTTTTTAACACCAAGAAGGATCCTATAAATAAAGTCAAACATTGCAGACCGGTAAAGCAACAAACGCACCCCATAGGTCAACTTCGAGCCTACATTATCTGGTGGCAACTCGCTGAACTCACGCAGCTTCATGAACTGTTGAGAAATGAAAAATAAGGTATAGAGATAAGCGAAAAGCAAAAACACCTGATTAAATGCTTTTTGACTTCCATGCAACAAAGCTGCGTCGTTGCTAGGAAAACCAACTTCCGCAAGACAAAATATACAAATCATGCTTACCAAAAAAAGAAAGAAAGAAAGAAAATGCCCGTGCCAACTGTCAAGCTGTTTCGAACCGGTGCCTTGAAATCTGGAGCAAACCGAATGGTTGAGCCATTCACTTTTGCTTCTTATTCTTTCCAATTGCTTGGTGCTTGACCAGCTTCAAGGGTTCCTAGTGTTTTAAAAGCGCAAGGCACAAAAAAAGCATAAGGATCGATTTGCGCGAGCCTTTTTAAGAAATGCACAAAATTACAAAAGAAAGGCTAAAAAATAAAAAAAAAGTCATAAAATGCCAAAAAAATTTAAAAGAATGCAAAATAAAAATTTAAAATATTAAACATAACGTTAATAAAAATATAAACTTAAATTTTAAAATAAATGATTTAAAAAAACCTATTATCTAAAATTAAAATACATAAACATAATATGTAAACTGTATTCAAATGAAAATTTAAAAATAAAAGCAAACATATAAAGCATTTTCAAGCATGTAAAACCCACAATCTCTTTTTTTTCCTTAATTGCATTGTTTCAAGTAGTTAATGTGATGTAAAACATATTGCATTTTTTATTCTTAGTCGCCTTTGTAGCACACCCTTCGAAGCAAGCCCGGACAAGTCTATGTTAGGGTCTGAAATTCTAACCCCCTATTTGCTTATATTGTTCATTTATTCATTGCAATAAAACAACTTCTTGAAAGGCAATGAAAGTTGTAAAATCATTATTTTTTATGTGAGAAATAAGAATTTCAGACCCTAACATAGATTTGTTCGGACTTGCCTCAAAGGGCGTGGTTGGGGGTTCTGCCCCCGGACCCCGGCCCAGCCGTTAAACTAAAAAAAAGGCAAAAAGCACAAAATTTTGAAAAGACGCACGCCTAGGCTGGGGCACAAGGCGCATCAGGTGCACCAGGCGCGCGCCTTTTGAAAGAGTTGCGCCTACGACCTGGGCGAGGTGCATACCCCAAAAGCGCCTCACCTGTGTGCCTAGGCGTGCCTTTTAAATCACTGCTTCAACCAGAATTACACATTTTACCAATCCAATACAAATTGGTTCACGGTGCTTATCTCTGGTTGACCAGAGTGGCTTGGAAAGATGATCCAGTTTGGCTCACCTAGTTGTGACTGGCTTGTGTTATGTTTGTTTCTTTTTTAGTTGTGTTGTGTTTGCCATCTTTTGTTAGTTTTTATTTGGTTTCTGTATTATTATCTGGTTTAGACGTTGTATCTTGCTATAGCCATTTTAATGGAAGTTAATTTTCTACCAAAAAAACCTTCTAAAATAAAATGCTAAACAGGTTGGACGCGGACCAATTGGATTTCCAGTTTGCTGGTTTGTCCAGTTTTCTGAACATTGGCTTCACACAGCCATTTTAACTGCTGAATAATGGCCTACAAATCCAGCTTTCACCTTGTGGTTGGGTTTTCAAAACCTTGATTCAAATAACGAAGTTGCAAACAGATCAGATCGGATTGAAACAGTTAAACCTAGATGACTAAATCCAAAATTCCAAATTTGATCTGTTAATGTTCAGATTACTACACTAAAAATGACCTTGATATTGTATATCATGATAAAATGAATTTAAAAGTACTAGTATGAAACTTGAACATATGGCTGGTAAATATATACCATTCAAATTAACATAAATTCTAAGTATATATAAGCATAACCACAATATGATCTCTTCAAAATAAGCCGCCAATACTCAAAAATAGATCAGATATATACATGGGCAAACATTATTACCTCCATTCAACTCTTTTCGCACAATGAGATTCTAACTTTGGGTTCCAGAAGAAGCTGATCTCACATGGCTCTCATCCATTTTCTGTATGAATATTTGAGGAGGGTTTTCTCTGCCACAGGTAGTGTTTTCAACTTAATGTAATTATAGAAGCACAAAAGGGTTTAACACATAGAACAGTTATTCTGCCAGAAACACAACAATTAAGTAGCTATATGATCATGCCAGCTACATTACTAGGAAAACAGCGAGCGTATCATGAATTTCATCCACAAAAAATAAAGACAAGAAGCAGTACAAACCCCTTTTTAATAAAAAGAAACTCATTAAACAAAAAACAGTGTGAATCATTAATTAAACGATAGAACCAATAAAGTGTAATGAACAAAATTTCAATTTTGATGAACAGATATTGGCAATGTTTTGAATCAGGGAAAAATAAATTGCAAGCTCTCATGTTATGGAGCAATAGCCATTTTCAAGGCCATCATATTCTTCTGAGACAATAATCTTTCCACTGAAATGAATTTTCACATGGCAGTCAAGTAGAGGAATGCATGTAGTCCTACGTCTGCATAGGTAACAGTAATTAAAAGATTCTTCCCATGCATATGAATAACCCATTGGCCAGGACCTAATAACTACATTAAGAAAAATATTCCAATATTTATAGGAAGTTGAACATTTCAGTCCCCTCCCCCTCTAGATGCATCTTTGTACTTTATAAAGTTACATGGTTGTTGTCGATTGGTATCCATTTCGTACATGGAAGTATCGTGTCAAACCCCAGGAAGATGGAACTCTGTCCTCCCATCAAAAGTTACATCATGATCCATGATGACATACTATTTAAGTGAAAAACAGCCTGGCTATTGTAGGTGAGAATAGTGACTCTGTCACAAAGTCAATAGTCTGTACTCTGTGGTTAAGAATTAATAGGGTGAACTTGATGTCAATTTTGAATTCATTAACTCATTTCTTAGTTGTCAGATACAACAAAATCACAGTTCATAGATGGACAAGTAAGCAATCAAGATTCCACCATACAGTTTTAACCCTGATAAATTCCCTTCCAGACATAAAAGATGTAATTTATGATAGTTCTATGAGTTTTCGGCCACAAAAGCTATCTCAACTTTGAAAGGAATCAGAATTAATATGAGAAGGATAACTAACATTTCCTTTTCCCCTTCATATATGTAGCTTGATGCAACAGCCAGAAGTTGCCCATTGTGGTTATATGACAAGGAAGCTACACTCCTGGGAAACCTTGGCAACTGGAGATAAACAAAAAATTAGAATGTTTTGTACAAAATACCAAAACTACTCAAGTAAAACATATAGACAGCAGTAGATTGAGAATGAGAAGCATATGCATCAACTACATGTTTGGCACACAAGCAAGCCAATTGGAGCAACCAACCAATGCATCCTAGAGAAGAGTTGCTTTGGATTAAAATCACCAATTGGACGATCATAGCATTCTATACCTAATTAAACCTCATCAAGTTGCAAATGAATTTATGCATTTATCTCTTACAAGTAGTAGGTGAGGTTATGATATGTTCAATTAATCTTATAATGAATGTGATGAATTACAAGCAACATAACTATGATCTACACCCTTCAGCAGGCTATTAGATTAGAAACTCATAGCTGCCCCTGCCTGCTTTGATTAATGTTGGCCTAGAAATGTATTCTCAATGAAGTCCCTTGAATTATGGTCCCCAAATCATGCATATGTACCTTGATCATGTTTAATAAATGATAAAGTTTCTTCCTACTTCATGCTTATCTTCCATTTTTTACCTAACCATCCTTGTAATGTGAAAAGATGCACAACACCACTATATACTCTCAAGTCTCAAGAGTGTTGGACTAGAAAGCAATCAAATTACAAGGTGCAACATCACAAGGGAATGTAACACCTAAAATGAACAAAATTCTGATATGTTGCAGTGCATATAATACAACTACGGTCAATTTAACTAATACCAATAGATAAATGCAAATGTTTGAGTGTTCAAAATAATTGCAATTCTGCAACAGGTGTTTAATAAATTATTAACCAGTTTAAAAATGCTAGTTATGAGCAATATAATAGATTATTTTTCTATTGCATCTTCACTCAATTTCTGGCAGCAAAGGAGAAAAGAACTTCTGACAGCAAAAGGAAGAAGAGCTTATCTTTATTAATTTGCAGCATGAATATTCTATGCCTTGCAGTAGTACAAGTCTTGCAGAGATATTATAAATGGTAGGAGTTGCAAAACAAATTGAGAAACAGATTAAAAAGTCTACAGACATATGAGAAGCTTAACATTCCCCTAGAGACATTTGTTACTAGCAGCACCATATACAAGTTCCACAAAGAGTCAGAAAGAAAGGAAATACCTCAAATAGCCTTTTCCTGCTTTGTCCATCCCATGCAATAACATACCCCTCATTATCGCCAGTGACAAAGGCACCATACTGGCTGAATCAACAAGAGTGTCTCAATGTAAATTTAACAAATCTATTAGAAAAAATATAGCAACAAAATGTACATCAAATGAATGCATACTGTGGATGAGGCACAATGTCATTCACTGCAACAAGATGATATCTCCCATCCTTGTACTTTGGATGGCACCGGAAAACGCAACTGTAGCAAAGACATGCAAAAAATATGACTATGGTGCCAAAATGACATCATTCAGAATGCTTAAGGCCAATCATGACCATTGCATTTGTCAAATGCTCTTACAGTTAAGTCACAAAGTTCAGACTACCAAGAGTCTAAAATCCTTAAGAGAAAATCTTTTTTTCTTCTGTGCAAACATACTCAAATGATCAATCAGAAAAATCCTGGGACCTTTCAGGTGGAGTATAAACATCCAAGAATACCATTCTATAGCCTCCATCCAGTAAAAACTTTATGGAAAAAATCAGCATGGTTGGGTGAATACTGTTTATGTAAAAAGATCCATCTTATCCTGGATTAAAGCCTGAGTGAAGTGGTATAAGGGAAAACTACCAATAAAAAATGGTTGAATGGGCAATATGGTTAAGGTCATAGATGTAGCCAGGAGGTGAAGAAGAAAGGGAAAAAATGAAAATGGTAGAAGCTTAGTCATGGACCCCACATGGCAAAGTGAGACTACTAGAACTACTGCCACCTATGAGTGAGTTATCTAAACTGGAATTAAGAGATTGTTGACTCTGCAGAAACAAGACAACAAAGGAAATTTATATAATAGCCAGTTATGTTAAAGCAAGAAATGAGTCAAGGACTCGTAATTTAACAATAGATATGGCACTGAATAAAAAGGAGTGGCAGAACAGGATTCATGCAGCTAACCCCATATAGTTGGGGCAAGGCTTAAGTGATGATGATGATTATGGTTATATTAAATCCAGTTTGAATCATTATCCTATCAATAGCTGTAACTGGTTTTAATATTTGCTTTGGGTTTGATAAGGAAAGCAAAACAACAAAAAAATAAAAAGAAACTCATTCCAGAAAATCTACAAGTGATCTGTCCATGATATAATCTTTGAGGAGGTTACTTGCTTATAAATGATGTCCAAGGAAGCAACCTGGCTATGATGTAACATTAAGGAGGTCACTTGCTAATGAAGTAGTCTCTAAGTACAAGTCTATATAGATAGATAAACCAGTCTTTCAAGAGGATGAATAGAATAAAATTATGAACCAAAGCTCCTTTTTCATTAAGATACCTTCAGGTATATTGTCTTTCCCTCTCATCTTTCTATCCTCATGTTTCCTTCCTATTGAAACATTCTATTGTCTACTCTATTTTTTTCCTTGTCTTAAATCTTTTCTGTTCATTTCAATTGTCGAATGTCCAATCTAGCATATTATCATACATCCTATCCAATTATAGTTCTTCATTTGGCTATACTAGACCACCCTTAACCCCCATAACAGCCCTAGACCCTTATCAGTTATCTTCTTTTTCCATAATAAAAATAAATATACTAAAAGGAAATGAAAGTGCAAAAATAAGTGACAAGGAGTTTCCAAGAGAAAGAGTTGAAAAGACAACAAAGCATCTCAATCCTTAACAACCCTTCCCCTACAAACAAAATTGTACAAAAATCTAATAAAAGAAAATCTCCTCCAAGCTTCAAGAGAAAAACTCCCAACCCAAATCCAAAACATATGCAAGATAAACAATCTTCAAATCCCAAACACCTCATGCATTATGAACAATCAGAGAAAATATCTCTACAGCAGTCACAACCTTTAAACCCATCCAGAGACAGAGATTATCTTTGACACCACAGAATCCAACTCCAATCAGGCCCAAGAGTTCCTTCTATACATGTTCAAGCCACAACCACAAACATAGCCCCTCACCCCCTAAAATTACATACAGTTGTATTAACTAGAACCAAATTGGTCCGGTCCAATGACTAATACAGGTTACAAAGTAGCATTTCAGGACAAGCAATGAGTACAGGTTAGTGGCAGGCAGCTGGCCACCTATGCTGAAATGGACAGGTTACTAGGCACTTAGCAGCATATTTACTTCTGCCTCATACTTCTTGCTTCAAAAATGCTTTTGCATAAAATGCCCCCCCCCCAAAAAAAAAACGCTTTCTTTCCGTACCTGAACTAATCAGTTATCTTCTTTCCTGAGCAGTCTTCTTGACAGTTCCATTCAGGACAGAAACAAATCCTTATAAACCTTCACCCAACCAACAACAGAATTCCCCCCCTCAAAATTCCTTTATTCTGCTCATAATACTAGTATCACTGTCAGTTTTCTCGACAGTTCCAGCAGTTGTTCACCATAATTAGCATATGAAATCTAAGTGGAACTGTGGGACCTCCTTACATCTACACTGAGTTTTACAGTTCTTGACCTAACCCGCCAATCTGCTAAAACCCAAACATTCTTCCCCATGCTTGGGTTGAGTGCCTGCCTCAGGCCCAACCCAGCCACCTCCCCTGAGCCACTTCTTGCAGAGTTGCAATGTAGGATACTAGGATCAATTTTCTCAAAGTAGAAGCAATTAGGTTCTACTTCTGGTTACATAAAACAATACCGTTGAAGATCATGGATAATCATCCTATAAATAACTGTTTTTATATAAGCCTAATACAATAGATATTGAAAGAAAACTCGTATCTAACAGCCCGAAAAGGGCACAATTTCAATGTTTCAGCCATTAAACTTATGAAAGAGAAAATTGCTGCCATCACAACCATGATTTCATAACTAACCCCGTTCCGTTCTCCTCTGAAGGATCTAGACATGCTAATGCAACACGTCCATCAATTGATCCAATTGCATATCCTGCACAGGCACAAAAAAAGATGTGAAACCTACTTCAAGGGAACTCTACAACTACAATAAGGGATAAGAGAAAAAGCCACTGAACCATCAAAAAATACGGAGGGTTTATTTTATTGACAGAGGGCCAATTTTCAGAGGGAATAGTATATTTAAGAGTTCTACTTTGATTATGAGCTTTCTTAGTGAGTTTTGTCCGTAAATAGGGGTGCAACTTGTCCAGCATGGGTCGCACATTACTTAAAACTTGAAGGGGCCCAGAACTAGTGGTGTAAATTCTTCATATCTGCTTCCTGATTTGCGCCCTACCCTATAAATATAGAGACAGTGGCACAAGCGAATTTTTAAATAAATAACTTGATGCCATTCCATGCTAAAGTTTAACGATTTTTTGCATAAAAACAAGTTATATCAAATTAAGAAATTAATGTTATGCATGTGGCTGGGTACATCTTTCATTTTGTAAAAGACTCCACACTTGGTGGTGAGTACTTCACCAGATCTTGTTGAAGAATCAAGGCTAGATCTTTCTGATTCAATATTCTTGTTATTCCAGATTCAAGATCATTTCTTGAATAATTTTTATTCTTAAATCAAAAGTTTCACTGTGTCTTAAAGTTAGCTCATTCTTTGATTTGATTATTGACCTTGAAATTGTTTCCTTATTGATAATCTCCCCAACACATAAATGGAACTGAACCTACTCCATAAACCAGTCCTAACTGATTCCCATATAAGTCCTCCATCATTTCTTGAATTGTATCTTCTTTTCTTGATGATAAATGAAAGTTCATGAAAGGAAAATAGAAAGTGATTACAGTGCCTGATGATAAGATATCACCCCCCAACCAAGGGGGTAAGTCATTCCCTACAGCTACCCAGGAATTGTGGGGTCCCATAACCCTACATTTCTTAACAAAATCAAAACCTGTATATTTTCAACGCAACCCTAATGTCACTAGCAAGCTAATATGAAAATATTCACTCTAATATGTGCCCTTTATCACTTATTTGAAACATATCCTAAAAGTCAGTGTTTGTGACTCATTGTATCATCTAATTTGCACAAAGATGAATGTCACGTTTTCAGGTTTTCTGCTCAGATACCCCATATCATTTTCAAAGAGAAGCTAAAAAATTAGTCTTATAGCAAATTGATCATTTGCATTTAAAATGATATTTTATATTTCTTTGTCCATGTCAGAATTAGTTCAACAGAACCAACAGTTCTTCACACACTTTGCACAAACCTAATGTCTCACAAACCACACACATGTAAAGCAACCACATAAATGTAATTTGTTCTTAAGTGCAAGGATATGGAAATGACAGAATTTCTTTAAAAAAAAGAGTGGTAAATAAGACTTCAACTGTCAAAACAAGGTTAATCAGTTTTTAAAACATGGAAACCGCTGTTTTAACACATGGAAACATTGGATTTATCCAAACATGCTCAAAATTATCATTTTTCTCAGAAAAAAAAAATGTTCTTTAAAAGAAAATTCAGGAAAGCAACCATAAAATCAATACTCAATCATAAAACATGACAGTTATTTTACCTTTGTGATTAGGAAATGAGCAAACACACTCAATTCTATAGTCCATTGCTGAATTTTTTGTTTGAATTGGACCTTCTAAATAGCGCAAATCAAAGATATTTACTGAAGCTCCAACCCCAAGTAGCAAATAAAGCCCACATACTGACATACATTCAACCTCTGAACCTACAGCTTTTGAATATGCAACAAAATCCGATATGCGAGTATCCCAACACATTATCTTTTTATCCAAACCAGTTGTAATTACTTGACCTGCAGAAAACAAAGCATTATTAAATGCTCTTGCAGCAACAACAATATAAAAAGGCGATGATCAAATTAGCCCAATTTATAGTCCAATTTATAAAGCAAAGGAATGAAAGACTCCTTTCAAAAATCAAAATCTCCTCATGTGTTGGAAATGTATAAAAATGCTATACTGAAGATTACAAGTTAGAACTAATAAATTAATGATCAGTTTCTAATCTTAATGCCCTCCCTTTACCTAACACGGTCATATCCTAAAGTTTAAAAATTCTGCAAATATATATTTTACCAAACATCTTTCTTTTACCAAAATGAAAAAAGGGGATAATTAGATCCTGGAATGTAATACATATCAAAATTTTTGCAACAAATTAAATCCATAAAATGCATCACAAACATGACATAGAAGGTTTAAACCATTGTTCATAAACATACCATAGAAGGTTTGAACTATTATCCCTAATATAATTGTCTTATGTATAGTTGTCCATAGTTCTTCTCAAAACGTTTGAATTTGTTTTATGAGAGAAATGACAAAAGTGATATGTATAATATTCAGAAAAAGTAGGAAACTTTTACATGTCTGCCAAATTAAGGATTCAATTTGTAGTAACTTGGTTGCCAATGTAACTTACAGGTTTCCTCAGAAAATTCAACGCATGTTGCCAAATCATCATGAGCCCCAATTGCCTTATGGGTTCCTGAATGAATGTCATACCTAAGAACATTTTGTGACCCATAAATATCATGGAATTATCACAAATTGAAACCTTGTTCAATATCCACAAATAAAGGCAGGGATTTAATGAAACTAAATGTTGCATGAGGTTTCAACATGCAGTGAAAGAACATTGAAGAGTAAATGTTTCATTCCCTCAAGTTTACACTAATTAAGGAAATATCTGACATGTCATTCTTCCCTAAATGGGTTGCTCTGTCCCAATGGACAGATGGCTAAACTAAACTTAACTAGTGCATTAACCACCATACAGATGTTTCAGTACTTGTATAATTCAGTCCTGAAGGCATGTTGAAGTGAGGGGAGTAGGGGACAATAAGAATAGTTATAAAGCTCATCAACAACAGTTCGGGAGATATTAAAAAAAAAAAGAGCATGGTAAAAGACTACTAAAATTTAACTTTTTAAGCTTATTTATAAGAATGGCATTTATGCCATCCACATATCTTTCTAGTTTAAAGTATCCCAAATGGCTTTGAATGCAAATCCTCATTAGTTCACATGCAACATGATATTTTCGACACAACATTTTCACCATAATGGAGACATAAATGTTGAAAATTTCTGCGGAATACGTGCCCAATCATGGATTTGCCTTCTTAACACCCGGAACTTTACTATTTTTCAAAAATAAAAATCCAAATATTGTATAATTTTTAAGTTTGCGCATATTAACTTTAAAGGTATATTAGTGTAATAGTTATCTGAAAACAGCGATGATCGTACAGAAATAAAATGAAACTGGAGGGTAGCTTTTAACATACCTTCTAAGACAACAATCAGTGCCCACGCTAAATGCAACAGATTCGCCCTGAAAACAGCAATCCAGAAGTGCAGCCTCCGAGGAAGCTTCTAATCTAAGTAAAGAGTTATCGACATCGTATACTCGAAGAATCTGTTTCAGGCGGAACACTCCAAGTGGTTAAAGAAAACCAACAAAAAAAATGAAGGATTTAAAAAAAAAAAAAAAAAAAAGTGAACAAGAAGTTTTAAAGATCGATATTACTCACAGAATCCCATGACGAGATAAGGAGGTTGTTGGATTGAGGAGCGAACCGGATTTTAGTTATGGCGTCTCCGATCGGTTTTTCGATCTTCAAACAAGCCCCCTCCATTAATTCGATGGGGGGAGAGAAAAAAAATTGAACTGATGGCGGGGGAAGTAATTGAGAATTTGAGATATTGAACCAAAGCATACGCAGATATTCTTCTTTTTTTTTCAGCACGAAGCGGGAACTGAAGCCGATGATTCAAATACGATGAGGCCATGTTTTCCCGCCAATATTCCTGGGCCAAAACTAGAGGTGTAAAACGTGCCTGCCGTGCCTCCCTCCCGGGATATTTTGGGAGATCAGCTCGGCACGGTTCATGGTCCGGGCCCATGTTGGGCCACGGGTTGGGCTGGTCCATAGGGTGAGCTTTGGATAGATTGGGTTGTGGATTGGGCCAAAGTTATTTTATTTTAAAAAATTAAAAAAAAACTTAAAATTTTAATTTTATATGAATTTTGATGTATACAATTGTGCATGTATATATATATATAATAAAATTAAAAATAATTGTTTATTTTATTAATATATTATATACTATATATGATTATATGATTATAATTTATATAGTATATTATATATTATATAAAATATATAAATTCTATATATATATATATATTATAAAATATATAAATATTATATATAATATATAATATATTATATAAAATATATAAATACTATATATATGAGTCATACCGGGCCATTTCGCCCTAAGCTCGACACAGTCCATAGACCATCGTGTTAGGTCAGGCCGCAAGCGGCACAGCCCAATTTACACCTCAAGCCAAAACACATGTACGGTCATGTTGCACACTAGAATAATGGTATTCACTAAACCTGTTTGGGAGGGCTTTAGGTGCAGCGGCTACTGGCTTCCCAATGTTGGCCCCACAAGGACAGGCTATAAGCTATAAGAACCTTGCTAGCCAAGATTGGTTGTAGTCATGTGGGTTGTATTTATTACCATGCCGTTTTACAAGAAATACTTTTTGCTTACAAATTTCCCACTTATTCAAACAATGTTTGAATACACATTATAGCCTTGCATTGGAAACATCTCCCCGTGAAATAAAGCACAAGCTATTCGAACGGGCCTTGCACTTACCAATCTCTTGGGATATGGTTAAGTTTTATTCAAATAAAGCATAAATGAAATTCTCTTTATCATGGGACCCATTACTTAATGCAAAAAAAAACAATATAAAACTGGTCAATGGGAAAAAGATTTTCCCCCTCGTATAAATGAACTAAGCCAAATATTGAAGTAGAAAGAATCCCGTGATGAATATGATTCATTTGAGAACTTTTTGGATTTTATTTTAATTGTTTGAACCAATATATGGCTTGTATTTTCTTTTCTTTTTTCTGTAATTGCATATTTTTTCTTTTCTTTAATGGTCATAAAATGATCTTTGCCTAAGTGTAAAATTCAGAACTTTATCAAATGCATATAATTAAGTAAGAAAATTATGAAATGTAAATGAAAATCTAATATGGACAAATGTAAATAATTAATTCGTTTAAATTAATTTAACAATTTATTATGTTTAATAAATATTCAATATTTTAATGATATATTGGGTAAAAGATTTAAACATACCTTATATTTTCCTAAATGAATTTAAGCATACCTTTAGTTTTTTTTAAGACTTAATTATACTTTGTGACTCTTTTATCCTCTAATTTCTTTCAATTTTCCAAATTATAACTTGAATTTTTCAAGTTAATGTGGATGGTGGGCAACATGGCACATTGGACTATGTCTCTCCAAATGGTCACATCCAATAACACCCCATGGAAGATTGTAAACCCATTTAATATGATAGTAAAATCCGTAACCAAGGATTAAAGCATCAATATCAGGTATCGTATTGGACAACTTAGATACGGATATGATTTGGAAAATGCATGAATACAACAAATGAAAAAACATTGAAACACATGGATGCACTAGGGAAATACATACAAATCCCATAAATACATTAATAACACTGTTTAAGATCAAAACAATTACAAATAGTATACAAATACATAAAATTTAATGATATCATATAATTTTATTTATAATACGTCAATCAAGTTCCAAGACACTAAACATATGCACTTATTATATTAATTATTTTTTATTTTACTATTTCAATTTTTTAACATTAACAAAAATCAACTAAATATTAATTTTTCAAGTGCAAATTAAAACATCAATTAATAATTTATAAAAATACTATATTTAATTTAAAATATATCAAGTTTGTTAAAACTTCTAAGATACATATCATGTACAAATTCAGGGAAGGTAGAACATCTTTTATTCTCTCTGCTAAATCCTTTGAATGACTTGTGTTTGCCTTTTTAGGAATCAAAGCTATAAAATTGGCATTGGCACCTGAATTGATCTTACCTCTCTCAAAGAACTCAGAGAAAACTTCCAATAAGTCACCACCTGTAATGTCCCAACAATCTTGATAGAAGGCCATCGTGAAACCATATGGGGCTGGGGCTTTAGATATTTCCATTGAGAACACAACATTTTTTATTTATTAGATTTCAAATTTTTTTTAGTTCAACCATCATATCTCTGTTACCCAGTTTCCAATCAAAGTTAGATCTCCTCTCCTGTAATCATTTCTCCATTCCAATTCAGTATATCCACAGTATTTTTCTCTCACTTCCTTTAGGTAGGGTATGAAAGTATTTGGTATCCCCATCTCATTTAGCCATTTACACCTAGCTATTTGCCTCCAACTTACCTCATATTTCCTAATGAATTTCTCAAATTCTTATTTCAACTTCTATCGTTCTTTCCGTTCTCGTACTGTCATCCTTCTCTTTGCCTCACCTACATCAATTTCTTGGATCCCCCTATGGAGATCGAATCCTTTATTTTTTCCACTCCCCCAAATTCCTCCTTATTCCAAGCTTTGATTATGAATTTTAGAGCCTGTAGCTTTTTTATAAAACCTATATCCTTTCCACTTGGTCTTCTTCCTACTACCGGTGTACCTTTTTTATAAAACCAAGATGAAACAACCACATGTATTCAAAGCATAAAGGACAAGGTCCCCCTCCTAAGTTTTCTTGGGATAGCCTAACTAGACAATGGTCTGATGTAGGTCTAGGGAGAGCCCTTACTACCAATCCTCTCCAAGCCAATTCCCAATCTGAATAGAATAAGAATCTATTGAGCTTACAACACAAAGGTTCTTGAAAATTGGACCACGTGTAGTTTTCCTGCAATGTGGGTAGATTTCTCAACTCAAATAGTCCACAAAATGTTGAAACTTCTCATACTAGAGGTAACCCTATGGTTTGGATTGGTGGTTTCATTCATGAATCTAATGACATCAAAATCACCCCCCAAACACCACAGGCCATCCCAAAGACCCCTAATCGCTGCTAATTCCTCCCAAAACTCACCCATTTCCCTATATGAGTTAGGTCCATAAACATTGGTTAAAACCCACTCCAAGCCATCATCTTTCATTCTTAACTTTATTGTAATTGTAAAGTTGCCAATAAGTTGTTCAATACACCCCATATCCTCATTCTTTCAAATTGTAGTGATGCATCTTGAAGCTCCCCAAGATTGTGCAAATGCCAAACTTAATCCTCTAGTTGACCATACACTCCTTACGCATCTACTGTCCACCTCTTGCAATTTTGATTATTAGATTAACACAATGGTTGGTTTCTCTTTCCTAAGGACTTTTCTAATCATACTCCTTTTTATTGAGCTCCCTAGACCCCTTACATTCCAGCTAAGTATCTTCGTGGACTAAAAGAACTAGTAAGAACCCAAAGAATCACCTTATTTTAACCCAATTTTCTTTCCTTCCTCCCTATACCTCCTATTTCATAATCCACTTCAGATCTTAATCTCTCCACTTCGCTCAGTTTCTTTTATCTTCTTGTAGATGCCTATCCCTCCACCTTGTTTGGATTTTTTATCAGAACTACTTGTTATTTTTTCTAGTTTTTCTTTTTGCCTTTTTATCTCCAACACCTACAAGTTGAATAGACAAAACAACAGGAGAGAGGGGGGATTAGCCAAATCACATAAAGGAACATATGTGGAATGACACAACACACTAGGCTCCAAGGGGGTGGTAGAGGGTCTTGTAGAAGTTTGGTGGAAAGGGATTTTAGACGGGGGGTTCTCCTCCAAATCGGCCTTTGAAGTGCTCAGCGGGAGAGGGGGGGGCTACACTTTTGCTTGCTAAAGTTGGAGGAGAGGTAACCATTCTACAATCACCCTGACCTTGTCTCTTAAAGGGGAGAGAAAATGCTCCACCTTGACTCAAGAAGTTATCACCCCCAAGATGAGGACTTTCTGACCCAACACTCTTCTGAGGATCCAAAGTAAATTTGGTTGGGGCTGGTGAAGTTGGTTCAAATAACAATCTTGTTCCCACATCCATTTCCTCCATTAAACTATTATCATGTCTAATCTTGATACTGCCAATACTGGATTCCCCAATATTTTCCTCATCAGTTCTTTCCCCTCCATAGCTTACCCAGTCTGAATCAAACTCATCTTCTTTTTCTTTGTTTCTGCCATATATTGGATTTGGCTGTTAAGGAGTAGTCAAGTAAGAGACAAGCCTTGGTCTCCATAAGAGTTTCTCCGTGACACTTCTATTCGAAAAACCAGTTCTCGAGTAGGGTTGAAAATGGAATGATGATAGGTCAGGATTAGCGTCCCCTATCTTTTTTACCCCTCTTGTCACGTGGTTACTTAAGTAGTCATGTGATTGTTTCTCTAACATAGGCCCTAGCCTATTTATAAGCCCACTTACTAAAACAATTTGCTTCTATTTAGGCCCAATTTTAAATAAACTTGTTTTCTTCGAATGACCACTTTCTAAACTAACTGCGATTGTCCTAGGCCTGAGAATACACGTTTCTTGTTCGATAATTAGTGTGGGTACATTACATTTGTCAAAACTTTTGCATAAGTGTTGTTGTTGCCTTTGCTTGCATGCCTCAATATTGGCTTTGCAGAAAAGCCTTTTGTATTCTTCAACCCCAAGTTTTCCATTTTTGAGTAAACTTAGCTAATTTGAATTTAGCCAATCTCTTGATCC